GCGTGATGTTACGTTGTAAGATCTTCTCTTGCACTTGCACACAGGCGTGATGTTACGTTGTAAGATCTTCTCTTGCACTTGCACACAGGCGTGATGTTACGTTGTAAGATCTTCTCTTCCACATGCACACATTCACGTGCCTGCAGCCACTGCCCGTCACAGCATCGATGCTTGACTTCAGATTGGGACAAAGACGTGTTGCTTTCCAACATAAAAATAATTATACCCAGAAGATTGAAATGTACCACTTCGAACATGTCGGATATGTGTTAGCTTCACTGAGGACGAACTCTCACCGACTATGTCTTTTCGCATGAGCAAGTTGTCCAAAAAAACAACAAAAAATGCTAACTCGGAGTGCATCCATGAAGACTTGCGTGATGAGCCCAAAGAAAACAATTGCCAAAATCGTGGGAGGAGATAATAGCAGCGAAGCAGAGTTTTCGCGGGTCAAGCGATCTCTGAGACGTGTCAACCAAATAGGTCGAATGCAGCCATCCCAGTCTCACATAATTCCTTTGGCGATGCAAAAAAATTTAGATTCTCCCGGATTAGAAACAGTGTTGCAGGCCATGGCTTTCTACCGGCAAGCCAGAATGTCTCAGGTTGGATGCGATCCCAAAAAATTAGGGAAAGTGTCAGATGACAACGCATGGCTGAAGATATGAATGAAAAAGTAAACATGTCGGCGCGCGCCCACAAGGTTCCGAAACGTTGTTGTTGGATTAAGTTTTGAGATAAAATTTCACTTTTTAACCTTACACCCTCTCCCATTCTCTCCTTAATATATAAGGTGCCATTTCTTTAAGTAGTTTTCGGGTCTCGTTCAGTTTTCAGGTAATTTGGTTCTGGGTTGAAGTCCAACGCGAGAACCTCACGGTTGGTTTTGAAAAACTGGTTTAAAGAAATGGCAACTTATAGTAAATATAGGTATGAACAGGTATGAAAACGGAAAGATTTACAAAATAACTGACATTGGATACAACAAAGCCTATGTAGGGAGCACTTGCGAAAGTTTGAGTAAAAGAATTGAGAGGCATAGAGCAAAATACAACAACTATAAGACAGGAAAGACAAACAGCAAGATTTCAGTGTTTGATATCTTTGATGAGTTCGGTATTGAAAATTGTAAGATTGAATTGATTGAGAACTACCCGTGTAATTGTAAGGAAGAACTATTGAGACGAGAAGGACACTACATCAAAAACACTGATTGTGTCAGTCAATAAGGTCGTTCCGCATAGGACGGAAGAAGAGAGAAAAGAGGCGTCGCGGGAATACTACTACAAACATAGAGACAAAATATTAGCGAAACACCTTGAAAAGATTGAGTGTCCTTTTTGTAAGCGTGTAATGTCTCAATATTATGTTCCGATACATCAAGGGTCGAAAAATTGTGTCAAACAAACAGGAATAAGTAGCGAATAAAACGTTCTCAACAACATCATTTGTTATTGAGAAGGTTTGAGTTCAACAGTTCATCAATGACATCTGCTGTTAATACAAATGTTGGTTTGACGATGTTTTGATACATTGGATTTGGACGAAATGGTGCGTCCGCAGTCGGCACACTTGAAGGGTGTTGATAATTTCTTTTGGTAGTATTTGGAAAAGTATTCGGGGTCTAATGGTTTTCTGTCATAAGTTCCATCGGGTTTCCATCTGGTGGATGCTTGGATTGGGGGTTCTTGGACTGTTTCTGGATTGAGTGCTTCAACCATTTGGTCAAAGATGTCCTCATCCATTTCTTGCTTCTTTCCGTCAACTACTAAATAGCAGGGCATATCAAATCTTAATTACATAAGGCGACTTGTCTTTAAGTATCTTTGGGGTGTTCTGTGTTCGCAAATGAGGCCAACCCGTTGGATGCTCCCAACGTCAAGTGCTGGAGACTGCTTGGAAATGTCATGCCAGCAAATATTTGGTTGGATTTTCCTCGAAACAATCAGGTTTTGAAGGCTGTTTCAATAGTTCATTGCTTCAAGGCTTTGATAGAACCCGTTTCCAAAATCTTGCATTATGACAAATGCTGGGATTGACCTGCTAATAGATGGTGTCCCTGATGTCTTCACAACCTTGGCGTGGGACGCATTCGGCAAGTGGAAAAGGGCAATTGGATGCAATTGGATGCTGTAAAGCAGTGAAAAGTGGTTGATATCATCACCAAACTTCTGGGCCTGAAGAATGCTACATTTGAGAGTGCCAATCCAACAACTGCGAAACAAACCAACCTTCAATCTCTGCCAGGAACACTGTGCGGTCTGTCCCACCGGTCAATTGTGCAGTGCAGATAGAGTGCATCCCGGATTGAAGGGTAGGTGCAACCCCAATAAAAATCATCACCTTTCTGTGTTTTGCCAGTCTGGTTGGACGCAATGCGGATTGCACCATCCATGAATCACGAATGGCACCTTCAGTGCATAACGGATTGCACCCGACCTGCAATCCAAAAGTCCTACTGGTCCTACAAGGAACAAAGCACTCTCATTCACACGCCACTGCCACTTCCGCCTTCAGACCTTCTTCAAAAGGTCATGCACTGTGCGAGAAACTGCGCAGTAGCGTCGCTCCTCTGCCCGCGCATCCACATAGATGCAACGAGCTCCTTGTCGCCGCACCGCTGCGGCCATGTGCGCAGGCGTGAAGTGCTCCCTGAACCTCTCAGCATCAACACACTGCTCGAAGGAGCTATGCGCCACGGCCTTGGCCAAGGTGCGTGCCATCCTAACCTCTTTTGGGCCAAAGCCACCTTGGTTGTCAATGCCCAAGAAGTTCTGGACCTGACTTCTTTGCACCGTAAGCCGTTTGGACTTTGCTTCTTCCCACGATGTCTCTTTGGCATTTTGCGCCACGTCCTGCAGGAGATGTGGGCAAGTTTCAAGGTTTCACGGTTCGTTGATGTTTCGGGTTGTTGTCCCATGGTTTCATGACCCTTGTCCTCCATTACACCGATGTTGCCACCTGTGAGTTGAATCATGTCGCTCTTGTGCGTGGAGGCCTCTTCACCGCCATGATGACGTAGGAATTCCTCAACCTGACAAGGAGACGTCCATCTGCAAACATCCCAACCCATGCCAGAAGTAGCACCAACAAAAAGCACTAAAGTGATTGAAGGTGACTGAACAATTACCACATGAACTGAAGCTCTTCATTATGGCCTCCTTCTGCGAGAGCTCTTCACTCGTCAGTGGTGGAACGAAGAATCGGCGCTCACGACCGTCTGCGTCAAAAGCAATGGCTGACACTGCAGAACTGACCATCACCACCACTTTGGCGACCGTGTCATCAAAGCCCCATGACTTTGCAAAGGCGGAGACGCTGCTCATCACATCTGGATTAAAGACACCACGAGGAACTTCAAGGATGATGATGGGTTGCCGTCCCATTTCTTGTTTGGCATCTCTCAAGCCACGCATCATCTCCTCTTCATGGAGCACTGCCAACCTGCTCCTCAATGCGTCCTTGGCCAAGTCGTTGTTCTGCATGAGCTTGATGTGGAGCACTCCATTGTTCCACTGTTTCTCCTGCAACACTTCCCAAAGGATGGTGCTCTTGCCAACTTCATGGTTCCCCCAGATGAGGATTGGGCGGGGGTCGTCCAAGTCCAACAACTGGTGCATTTCGTCCTGCCACAGTGCATAGTGAGCATAGTGCATCAAATTCAAAATGTCAGTATGACATGAAATAACACCTATCTCAAGAACAAATCCCTTCTGTCAAGAAACGCAGGGACAAACACAACAAAAAAAAAGGTGGTGCTTGGACGCCTTGATTATCTTCCGTTCAATCTTGACACGTGGCTCGCGTGCTTTGAAAGAGGCATTCACAATGATATTTTTCACTCGTTCTTGTTCTTGACGATGCCGCCACATATCCCATCCAAAGGTCACGATGGCCAACGAGCCACCACCACCAACCAACCACTTTCCAATCTGCTGTTTCGTGGTCGGCTCCTTCTCTGGAGCGTTGCTTGAGAAGCAACGGTGGTTTCGTCGGCCTGACATGAGAAGCCGAAAACCACAACATCGGGCAATGAGGCAACGCAACATACCCATGGCATGGCGGAAATCTCCAGAACTGGGACTGTGCTGGAGCTCAAGCACTTTACGATTTCTTGATGCGTTGACTTGTTCATAGTGCAACACATGCCGCAAGTAGAACTCATCTTATCTTGTGAGCATTTGTGAGCCAGTCTGCTGCGGGAGAAAGCAATCAACATCTCTGGGTGTAGTGTAATGCCACAATGTGTACATAGAGTGTACATAGTGCCTCAAGAACCGCAATATGTCCTCAAAAGCGATGCTTCCATGCAAACGAAACAGCGCGCACATCTCATCTGGGCGCCCCCGACAAAATCCAGAAAGTCCATGAAGAAGTCCGCAAAAAACGAGGCGAAGCGAAAGACGTTCAAATCAAAACACAACCAAGAAAAAACGCCACCAAAAAAGACGAGAATGAGAGAATAAAAAATGAAAGATGTTGAAAGACATGGAACCTTATGAAAGATATCGAGTTGAATGTTCTGTCTTGAAATTGATGATAAGGAAACACAATAAAATCATACCCAAAAAAAGACAAGACATACCTTGACAATCAAAAAGCGACAACCACAAGTACAGTATCCACAGTATCTCCCTCATCTGAACCAAAACACAAACCCCAACAGCCTAAACAATTGTCCCCCTCATCAAAAACCAAACATTGACACATCACTTTAGCATCAAAATTACCCCCAAAACCCCACCTGAAAAAACATCAAAGGTGAAGATGAAACATTGAACCCCAACACAAAATCATAACAAGCAACATACAAACATATACGCCCTGAAACCCCCATTTTTCCATTTTTTTCTGGGAGTTCTGAATCTTCACCCCAACTACTGCAACATCATCGAATTTAAGGGTTTTAACATGTTTTAACCTGTTAAAACATGTTTTAAGCATTTCAAGCCCCGAATATCAACATGTTTGCAAACATGACCACTCCAACATATGAGCGTTCATATGTCAGTATTCCATGTTCCTTGCCCACAAATATCCACAGCCTCCAGCAGCATCTCAAACGCTCTTGTCCAAGAGGTTGTTCCCTCGCTATCCAACACCACGACCTGTGGCCTCAAGGAGGGGCGGAAAATGCCTAAAAATATCCCCAAGCGAATTGCTGCTCCAAAATCCGTTTACATTATCTGACCATATCTGACCTCTTGTGTATCTGCTACCAGTATCACTTGATATGATATATATATATATACTGTAATCTATTGCTGATATCTACACCATTGCGCCTTGTCTCCAAGACCGCATTCACAGCAGCCAAGTGCTCTCCGATGTTGGCCTCATTGCCAGCCAAGTGAGAGCCCAAATGCGCCACCTGCAGCCCCTCGTGGCGGTGCACCTGTCCAAGACAACTTCGAACCCGTTCCAGGAAAAAATCAGCAGGCTTCCAGAAATGGTTTCCAATGTCTTTTGAGGTGCTTCTAGCCCTTACATCACTTTTCATCATTGGTTTATTTTCTGATGTTCAGTTATGGTTGTTCATTGATGTTCATTGTGTTTCATCACTTTTCATGTTTGTTTTCATGATGACTTTGGGCCATTCTGGGCACTGCCTTGCCCTTCAGGGGGCGCCCCAGGAGCAGCTCCACGGCCAAGCGGCCACCAGGGCCCAGGGCGCAAATTCGACTCTCCAGAGTCACCTTGAGACCTTGGTCATTTCTGGGCAGAAACGATCAGAAACTTGGAACCGATATACATGATATACGCAAAAAAAAGGCAGATAATGGCAGTTTCAGAAACTACAAATTTACGGGAAAGCCGAGTGTTTAACGGTGTTTATTCCTTAAACATGGAGCTTTCTGCTGATTTTCCTTCAACCAGTGCTGATAGTGCTGTATAAGTTGACCAAAGATGGGGGATTGATACGGGGATACTCCAAGACGATCCAACATCATGAGAAAATGTTGGGGAAGCGATGATCAGCCATATCAACCATTGGATTTTCAGGCACTTCATTTTCAGACAGACCTATAATTGTTCCATGTGTGATATATGATATTATTATGTACTACATGACTTCACAATGCAGCCTTCAAGACCATACTGTTCATGAATGTCCATACCGGTAGTACGCATCCTTGTACTCAGAGGGGATATGAAGCATTCAATTCCCGTGTATTGAAAAAGTGTCTAAGAGATTGGAAATTGGGGATGTTCTATCTACTCCCGGGTCCAGAATGTTTCTATCAGGATATCATACAAACATGTCCATCTCCAAAATTGGGAAGGAATTGACAGTTGTAGAATCAACAACTGGGGACGACCCACCAATCTTAATGGTGTCAATGGGGATAAATAAATAGTGATAAGATGTGATAAGTAATTCGTGGCCCTGGGGAGATATCGGGATGTTGGATGTTGGAGAATGGGATGCAAATCCATAGCGCTGCTAGCTATGTCAGCTATGTGCCCGTCAGTGAAGACCGCTGAAACAACAAACTAAGTCTCCGACCAGAAACACGATGAATACCAGCATTGCTAGTTGCGTCAACTGAACCCAAAGGAATTTCAAAAACTGCTCGCTTTCGCGATTTGACACCAGAGAGTTCTCTGGGTGTTTGCCACATCGATTCATGCAAAATCGTCATTGGGCTTCAAGGCCAGTGAGCCTCAAAAAGAAGCCTCAGCCTAAAGCAAAAGGATCAAGATGATCAAGGGATCTGCAAGTGCTTTGCAATTGAAGAAGTCATTGCCTATATTTAGCATTGAATTTACTCTTGCTGGCGATTTCTTGACTAAGTCTGGGGGTCTTCTTGGATCATGGAGGACACCAAGGGATGCAATGATTATTATGCTATGTATCTTTCGTTCGTTTTTGAATAGCCCCCCGGCTTCCAGCCACTTGGTTCAAACCCTACGGCTTGAGCCACGACAGCCATGATGTCAGGTGCGGCATTGAGGGACTTCAGGTCGTTGAACATGAAACATGTCACTGATGCAGCATCTGACATGTACCCTCCGGTAGTTTCACAATGCCATGCAGAAAAGTGCGAATTCATAGATGATTTACCATGATTTAGCATTGATTTAGCTATATTTAGCTATTCAAAATGACGATTTTCCATGATTTTCCGCTATGTGAAAGTAGCCTCGGTACCGAGAACCGAGAAGCGAGGCTCTTGGATGTCCCGGAACACCATGGCGCTGGTGAATCCTCCGCCGCTTTTAAAAAGCCGCCGTTCCTACTGTGACTATCTGTGACTAGTGAAACACAGGGAAAGGATGGGAAAGGGGTGCTCAGTGGTCTGAAAATGTCTGAAATTGAGGTCACCTCCAAGGAAATCCGCACCACCTGCAGTTCCGAGATGTGACGGCTTTACAGAAATGCAATCATGAAAGGACAATTATGACCTACGATGTGTTCATTCATCCAAAAACGCGGTCAAACACAGTCAGACCAGAGGACCGAAGGACACCATAAAGTCAAATATATGGATGATGTACATAGGTTGAAACATGTTGAAACACAAAGGAGTTTCTCGACCGCCAAGGTACTGGAGCTCGTGGAGATGAAGACAACGGAGCGTTCATTGTCAAGGCAAACATGGAGTCCATGATGACCTGTTGCCATCTGTTGCCATCTGTTGCCATCTGTTGCCATCTGTTGCCATCGGACGAACAACTGTGAAATACTGTGAAGACCTCAATATGAATTGCTTGGGTTCAAAGCTTTGGGTTTCACAGCTTCACTCTCAGCTCACCACAAGTCTTGTAGCCCCAGTTGGGCGAAATGGATCAGTTGGATCAGTTCGTCACACTGTGAGCCAGAGTTGGCCATCAAGTCGAACGAATCGCATCGCATGAAAGAAGCAGCCAACCGTAGAATGCAACCTTGCAAAGGTTATACAACACCGCCTTGTTCACACGGCCAACCAACTTCCTTCAGCAACTTTGATAACCGGTTCTTGCCACCAAGACACGCTGGTGACGGTTTTTGAAACATCTCTTGTGAAACAACCACACGGTTGAGGCGTTGCTTCAACCAAACCCCAATGTCTGCGAGTGTTGCAAGCCACATGTGGAGGAAAAAAAATAAACATTTAATCCTTGTTGCTGCTCTCACCCTCCATATGTTGGTGCAGTGGCGTGGCTCGCAAAATGATTCATGTGCCCAATTATGAGCAAGCACAATCATGTTGCAAACCTATGTTTTAAGAGCTGCTCTGTCAGAACCTTCACTGGCTTGACCAAAATCAAACTCATCTAAAATCAACCGACGGACATACAGAAACCACAATGGTCGTCACAATCGTTGGTCGTTGCAGTGTCTGATTGCATCCAGGTGCTTAGTTTCTGCTTTATCAATTTAAATCATTCATCTCAACATTAATCATTCATCCATTTCATCTTGACATAACGGACATAAGATTAGTTTCACTTCATCAAGAATAAGATCGATATGAATAATTAATAGATATTAATATCCATTAAAAATTAATCATAATTAATCCATATTTTAATAGATAGTAATATCCATATTAATCCAAAGAATCTTCAATTCATTTCCTACGTTGCTCTTCTCAAGTCGGCCATTGATTCGACCCTTCAGCGTGGCTCACAGGGACTTGATCTTCGGGAAGAGCTCCAAGCCTCTGACTGGCGAAGCGATGTCACGTACGAGGCGTCTTTGTAAAAACGACACCAAATTGCTGGGAGACATGATTTTATATGACAATATACTGTGATTATAGTTAATAATTATCAATAATTATCACATATTAACATATTATACTATAAGAATACATTATATCTGGTGAGCATGTTCACAAAACCCCAAGGATCCATGAATCGTTTTGGTTCTACCATTGTGCTTCAATAGTGATTGCCCGGTGCCCCAAAATCTGATGGAATCTTCCTTATATGGAGCTTTCCAATCCATGGGGGCCCTTATATGATCATCCAATTTTTGGATATGTTGGGATTGTCCATTAGCATCCAGCTATGGAACCAAGTCTGTTGACTATAATGACTATAACGATCCAACCACCAAGCCCTGAAAAAACACGCCTCGAGAGATTCGGCTCCGGCGTCTTGCCGCAAAGCCCAAGAGCACTATGCCTTGGTGGACGGACTGATAAAATAACAGTGGAGTAAGCTTACATGGATATATTATATTATATGTATGACATTATATAACTCCTGGGATGATCTACTTAGATGGGCCCATGATATAACAAACTGATGGATTTGGACAGTTGTGGCAAAGTTTGTTGATGGCACTCTTGAAGAGCATGAAAGATGAAGATTGAGAGCCTGGCCAAGTAGAATTTTCCTTGGCAGCAAGGAATGGCTACACAGCAAAGTAACGTTAGCTGCGTTAGCTTGTCCCCATGCACACTACAAGATATATATATATGCCTTTTCGTGATCAGTTTTTTCAGAACCCACAGATCATATTCCGATTTGCACCGATCATCCCCAATATGTTGGGTATAACTCCGTTAAACAACCCCCAAACTAATCATCAATCAACAGTGGTTGATAAAGGCAGCCTCTACAGTGCTCCCGAGCTGCGCCAGCAAGCAAACGAAAAAGAAGGCCGCCGCAAAGACGCCCACCTGGGTGATGTCTCAATGGGGCAAAATTATGAGGTTCTAGATTTTAGATGATTTTAGTACATGGGATGTCTGGAAATCCATAAATTCAGACGAACACAAGTATACATATACATATTATACAGACATATTATGTACACACGTACAAATATTCCACAATTATATAGGTGCATATTGAGTTGTAGTCTCCATTTCTTTTTGATGTGTTGATACTGTTTTAGCAATCTGCATCCGTTTCATTCCGTTTCACCACTGCACCAAGTAGCAGTTGCTCGAGGCTGATGAGCAGCCGCAGCACATGGAGCCCGGGCGAGCACCACAAAGTGAACCACAAGGATTGTGGTCCTGTCTTTTGGTTGGCAAACAATCACTAAACAATTAGAATTTAATGGGAATGAATGGGATCATCATATATCTTAATCAATGATATACCATGCCATACACTAAAATAAATGAGCGTAAATGGCTATATCAATTTGATTGTTTTTTCGGGGAAAACTAAAGAACAACTGGATTGTAGAATCTTCTAGACCCTTGTTTCTACTTGATCAGTGCAAACAATGTGTTTCTATGTTGGAAAAAACTCCTGTGAGGAGGAAACAAGACAAAACAATTCAACCAAATCAACAAACAGCAAGAGTAAGAACAACTCTGCCGCTAGCAGTATGCTTTGGACTGCATCCCGGTCATGGGTACACCGCTGAAGCCAAGACGTCTTTGCAAGACGTGGCTGAAGGAGTGAATGCCCCTGTATGGCACCGTTGGTACTTGCCTCGAATTTCGCAGGGCGAGTCTTGAAGCCGACGAAGTATGGACTCACGAAACCGGAAAAGATTGATGGCTTATAGTGATTTATAATGGACTATCCATGACTATCCCATTAAAAATTGGATGATTTGGGGGTACCCCCATTTTAGGAAACTTCCATATCAAAACAAAATCGACGGATTGTGCCTTTCTTTGCCGAGATGTGGCCTTTCTTTTCCTGGGTGCTGGCGAGTGAAAACAAGAACGCGACAAAGTTCGACATTTCCTGACGCTAGTCTACCTGGAGCGTTCCAATACTGGATTTTTTTACCCCAAACCCAAAAAAGATCGACTTTGAGGGTCGGTGTGGACAAGAAAACTGGAGTGTTTTTTTGCCATTCGGGACACTTCGGACATTATGGAGTGGAAAAAACGTTCAAAAAGCGTTAAAAAAAAGTTAAAAACCGTTCGGAAGCGTTCTGGAGTGAAAAAAAAAACGTTCTGGAGTGGAAATAACCGTTCAGGAGTTCTTTCTCTCTTGAATTTGGCAAAATTGATCGATTTTGACTTTGGTGTGGAAATTTCCACGATCAAGAGGATCCAGGTACAACTCCAGTCTGCTGATTTATCTGTGCACAAACTACCAATCACGCCAATCAATGCAATTCACCTGGACGACCAAAGTGCTTTGCAATGTTGTGCAAGCACCTAGCCTTTGTAGATTCTGGTCCACACCTGCACACACCTGCTTCCGACAAGGCTCCATCCTTCAAAGCCAATTCCTGACATTGGCGATGAATGCCCAAACGCATGCACTTAAAAATTTAAAAGAAATCCTTCTCAACTCAAGCTTCGGCCGACTTTCCCATAACAAAAATGGTAGAAGGGGGAAGCTAGGACAAGACAGGTTGTAGGTCAGGTGGGAGGCTGTTATGTTTTTGTTCAATCTTGTAATCTGAAATGTTTGACTGTTTCTTTTTGGTTATATTGCTATATATATATAAATGTTTTAGGTTGTTGATAGGTTGTTGTAATAATGTTTGGTTTCAATGAGGGTAGGTTTTGTTGAGGGTGTTTTGCCTGTTATGTTTTTTTATGTTCTTGTTCAATGTTTCTTCCTTATCTTTGATGTTTTATGTGGTGGGGGTTTTGGGAATATTTTGCCCCTAACTTTCACTTGATGGTTTGGTTTAAGATGAGGGGGATAATTGTTTAGGCTGTTGGGGTTTATGTTTGTGTTTGGATGGGTGATTACTTCATAATATGTTTTGTTAAGATATTATGAATTAATCATTTATGCTTTCCACTTTCCTATTCCATCCCACCAGTGTTCAATTATCCTGACTTGACTTGTGATAGGTTTGTCTGTATCATCTAAAATTAGTTCATCTATTGCTAATGCTAATAGAGTTTGATTTATTGCCATAGCATCCCATTTTCCATCACGGTTAAGTTCCTTACCACATTCAATGATAATTGTTTTTTTAGTGAGGTTTTCATACATTCTTTTTATAATGTCAAATCTCATAAACGAAAAAACAATCATTCCATTTATTCCTTGGTCGTTTTTCAGCCTATCAATTACTTTAAACCACCAGTATTCTCCTTCCTCATCATCTGGTGAAGGCATAGGATGACACTTTACAAAGTCTCGAATCTCTTCATCTTCTTTTTCTATTGCTTGTCTATCACATTCGTGTTCATCTTCGCTTTCACTACCAAAGTCAGCATATATACCGATATTATCTCTATCTATAACCTGAATTTTTGCTTTACTCATTTTCTCTTATTATATATAGTTATTTTTTCTTTAAGTATTTACCACTTTTTGTAGGTGCTCTTTTATTTCTTCTATGTTCAAATATTTCTCATAACCATTGAAAAGTTCTTCGGTGTATTCACGCAAAAATATTTTCAAAATGTCATTTACCTTAAACTCCCTATTTCTGAATGTATAAGTCCAATCGTTTTGAGGAAACCACCACTCCCGTTTGTTCTTACAATATGTCATATATGTAAGGTCGTGAAAGTTTTTAAGGAAGTGATAGGTAGTTTTCCACTCCTTTTTCACAAAAGACTTAATCGCCATTAAGAACAGTTTGTCATGTTTGAATTCTTGCTTGAGTTTGAATGTATCCATTAAAACATCAATTTCTCTTTTCATTTGCCGAGTGTTTGTTCGGTTCGTGTTGGATAAATAAATAGGTGATTTCTCCATCCTTGTTTTAAAAAAATAGATTGTCGTTTCTACTCTCGTCAGTTTTTTATCATTAAAATAGTCAAAATGATAATTGAAATCTATGTATCTACGCTCCTTATCGTTTAAGTCTTTACATTTTGAACAGTGAAGGTTGTAATCACATATCTCATCACAAATTCCAGCGGGAAAAATATTGTTCAATAAAACCATTACTTTAGTCATTTCTTTCTTACAACATCCACAGTTTTTATAAGTAAATAACATCCTCTTACTATATATATATAGGCATTTTTTTAAAAGTAGTTTTTGGGGTCTCTTTCAGTTTTTGGGTTTTCTGTTGTCCCTTATCCACTGTAATCGTTTCATTCGTTGTGTTTCACTACTATCACTTTCATATTCTTCATCTTCAGGTTCTTCTTTCTTGTCTTCATTTCTCACTTCTTCTATCATCCTCCTGATTTTGTCTATACCGTGTTCTCTGTCAAATCCTTCCATTACATTTCTAACTTTTTCAAGACCGATGTGTCGTTCAATCTCTTCGTCTGTCATCTTTCTAAATTGTTCTTTATATTCTTCATCATACTCTTCTCCGTCTTCATCTTCAAAGTTCATAAACATTTCCATTCGTTGCTTTTCCATTTCCAAAAGTTTGTTTTCCATTTGTTGGAATTTCATTTGTTTCTTGCCACACTTTCCACAAACATTCACGAAGGTTTTGAGCAAGTAGTTCCAATTAGGTTGTTTTCTATCGTTCAGGGTTATAACATCTGTCATTATACGACATCCGCAGTCAAATTTAGCCATCTGATTTACTCTTACTATATATAGGTATTGTTTCTTTAAGTAGATTTTTTATTGCTGATAATTTTAAAAATCTAATATTATAATATATGGCAAGGAGACTATCAAGAGATGACATCATAAGCAATGTCTATTACAATCTTGAAACGGGCTTCGGTTCAATCAATGAGACACTTAAGAAAGCAAAGGAACAAGACCAGACCATCAACAGGGTGGATGTGGAAAACTTTATGAGGAAACAACCCAACAAACAGATTAGAAAATACAGGGGTTCAAACTCCTACACCGCACCCTTTGCAAGGTTTGAATATCAGATTGACATAATGGATATGAAACCCCTTACCAAAGAACCAGAGACGAAAAATCCAATCAAGAACGACGAACCGAGATATGGGTTGGTGGTCATTGACATCTTCAGCAAGTTGGCAAACGTCGTCCCCATGAAAGAAAAATCCGGACCAATTACATTATCGGCGATGAAAGAGAGTTTCAACAAAATGGGTTTTCCGATGTCCGTTTATAGTGATAATGACCGTGCCTTCCAAGCAGGGGTAAAAGACTTTTTTGAGAAAGAAGGCATCACTCACGTCGTCACCCTAACACACGCTAATGTTGTGGAGCGTTTCATAAGGACGATGAAGAATATGATACACGACAGGGTGAGGTTTAATCGCGGTAGTTGGACTGTGATGTTGTCCAAAGCGTTAGATAAATACAACGACACCGTCCATTCATCCACCAAAATGAAACCCAAGGATGCCCACGACGACAAGAACCATATGGACGTCAGGGTGAATTTGACAAGGAGGGAAAAGAACACTCGCAAATATCCGGAGGTCAAAGTGAATGATATGGTGAAGGTCTTTGAGAAGAAACAAGATAACTACACCGAGAGGAAGGAGTATAACTCAAAATGGAGCAATCAATCCTACAAAATCGCCAAGATAGAATATGACGATGTCGGAAACAGAACCTTCAAACTGGAAGGATTGAACAAACCATATTTGAGGCACGAGATTTTGAAAGTATAAAAAATTATCTATAATATTAATATATGACAGAGGTAGTCGTAAAAGAGATTGATAATGAAGAACCCAAGGAAGAAACAATACCAGAGCCAACACAGGAAGAAGCACCGAAGGAAGAGAAGAAACCAGAAGAAATAATTGAACCATCCGTTCAAGAGAAACCACAACCAGCGCCAAAGCCCAAAAGGGTAAGACCGTCAAGGGCAAAACCGCCTTTTGACCCAGAGGCATTCAAAAGCGACCTTGTAAAACAAATAAAGGAAGAACTACAGAGCGCAATGACCGCCAGAGACACCTACAACAAAGCCAAAGAGGAAAAGAACAAAGCGACGAGAGAGAAATTGAAATCTTTAGCATCAAACATTTTATAAAGTATTATATATAAAAATGAACATCAAGGAACAGAAAATAGAACTCAACAAAACAGACATCTACGAAAACGTCCGCAAGGACATCAACAGAAGACAAACCGTCCATTCAAACAAAAGTGCCAACTACCGGAGCGGAACGCCCGAAATGCCAGACAGAAGAAAAAAAGTGTATAGTAGTTATGACCACTACTACCACAACGACAGCAAGACGGCAAGGATGCCAACTCACAACCATCATCTTTACCTAAAGCGCCTTCTTGAATATCACAACACCGAGCACGACTACAAGGTCTTACAAGTAAAGCAGAGGATGAAGGAAGAGAATGAGATGCTACAGAACGAAATGACAAGGTTGAGGGAGGTGAGGAAAAATCACAGATTGGAAGATTACGGGGCGAACGTCCAGAATATGAAACAGAGAATTGATGAATATAAACAGTGGTTGAGAGGCGATACACAAGATTAATATAAAAATCTCAACTATTAATATATAGCAATGACAGCAGAAGTAATCAACGCAAAACAGGGATTGACACGAATACCCACTTACGCACAACTCATCAAGGAAATAGACAGGGAAAAGTTCAAAACCAATGACATCAGAAAAATCTTTGATAGGAACGCTTGAAGACAAAAAGAGCGGGAACGCTATGAACAATACAAACGACAAAAACTTGAGAAACAGAAAGAAAAGGTTGAATGTCCCATTTGTAAAATTGAGATTTCAAGAACAAAATGTTAAGACACGAAAGAACCCAACGACATAAAAAAAAACACTTGAACAAACCTAACCCAAAACAAATAGAACAACAAAAGAAAACTGATGAAGAAATGAAACGAATAAAACACCAAGAAATCATAGACTACCTTAACGCAACATTTCCCTCATATCCAGATGGTTAAATCACAACAACCTCAACAAATCCTAACCACATTCAAACAGAAAGCCCCAGAAAAGTTAGCGACAAAAAAAACCCAGAACATACAACACATAAAACATCAAAGGGAAGGAAGAAACATTGAACAAGAACATAAAAAACATAACAGGCAAAACACCCTCAACAAAACCTACCCTCATTGAAACCAAACATTATTACAACAACCTAAAACATTTATATATATATTATAGCAATATAACCAAAAAGAAACAGTCAAACATTTCAGATTACAAGATTGAACAAGAACATAACAGCCTCCCACCTGACCTACAACCTGTCTTGTCCTAGCTTCCCCCTTCTACCATTTTTTTTCCCATGTTTCTTTAAGTTCTGCATTTATCTGACGTCGACCAAAAGCAGCCCGGCCTTGTTCATGCTGCCATTTTCAGGCTGCGCACTTGTGTCGTGCCTTGTTACCTTCGGCAGCACAACAGGATACATTTGCGAAAGAAAAAACAGGTCCGCTGATCCCAGCACCACTCCTTTTCGGTGTCCACAGCACAATCACAGCAAGCAGGGCTACAAACGTTCGAGACACAGACACACTCAAAGAAAAGGAGTCAAAAGGCTGCTTTTGCTTCAAGGGAGGTTAATGGGTGTAGGGGCTCACTTGTCAGGTTGGCAGGCTGCATAGAACATGATTGGAACGTGCAATTTGCTCAGACTTTTGATCGTCAATTATATATAATTCCATCTTAGAATATGTTTGGAATCAATGTCTTAGGTCCACAAGCCAACAATAATCAACATATATAATAAATACTTACTATACATACACCACATATATAATAGTAATAGTAATAGTGGTAATAAGTATATACGTATTATTATACATAATATATATATATATATTATATATTATTAACTTTAATTAATAATATATATATTATCCCATCTCTTCATATCCTCTTTCTGCCCAGCCAAGTAGAAGGATGACATGGTCTGCCTGGCTGACACTCGTCAGCTGACCGCATCTGCAAAGCAAAATGTCTGCGAGCAGTACTTCCCTGTAAACCTGCCCGAAATTGGTCAAATTGACAGCTGGGATTCTGGAAAAAGCATGGAACATATGGGGGATTTGGGAGTTGGGCCCCTTTTTTCTTTCGCCAATGATGTGGAAAATGAGGCAGAACATTGAGGTCTTGTCGAAAACATACGCCATTTCTAGAGTACCAATCCTATTTCCACTGCGGTCATCTGCGGTCCTTGTTTCACTGCGAGGATCGGACTTTGCACAGGTGTTGAACAAGCTTCAAACATCTAGCGATCTGATTATCATTGAAGATTGCCTTTCTGAGTGGTGAAAACATGACACTAGATTTGACCTCCTGCCTCAAAGGTCTTGGTTTGCATCTCGCTGAATTTCGCAATGAGGCAGAACTTGATCCAATCTGTCCCAATCTCCAACACCACCAACAAGAATAACCTGACGGATCTGTGACAGTGCAGTAGCATTCAAACTTGTTCAAACTGTTCCAAGTATATAAAATTATTACAACATAACACAACTACTAGTAGAAGATAGTAGAAGTTTTCAACCACATCAACGCGGGTATTCTTCTTTGCTCTTTGCTCTGTGCTTCAGAGATTTACAGCGGCCATTCATATGCAAGCAGGCTGCCAGAAGCATATGTCCGGAGCGGTAAACGTACCAGAGTGCTGAGATATGCTCCTGAGTTCAAGTTCCATGAGACTTTGTCTGAAATGGGGTACCGGTAGTACCCCAAAATCCCATGGTTTACAATGGTTTAAGACATGTTCATACATTTTCACTTAAGCCTCATGTTCTAAATATCCCAATGAACATCACCATGTTCCATGGTCAGACCTTGCCCCCGCCCGATTCGTCAGGCTGCAATCTCGCCAAGACGAAGATGATGTCCAGGAGGAGATAGAAACGTTCGACGATGTCGCTGGTAATGATGGGAAAGAGGCTTTTTTCTTCATATCTCTTGAAGACGGTGGACTTGATCTCAGCAAAGTTATTTGTCACCTCAGATAAAAAGGCAGAAAAATTGCGTATGTCTGTCGGCATCTCAAAGTTGACAAGGTGAAATGGTCGACTGTAATTGATACAATATGAATTAATCACGGCCAAGCATCAATGATCAGGAACACGGCATTTGACGATGTGTTGATAGCGACATTCAGAAGGATGACACGGATCAAGTGCATTGTCGCATGAACAAAGCCTTGCTGGCACTTTCCGACACGCTGCACGAAGAAGGCTATAACATGCTATAACACACAGCGCAGCCGAGGCAAAGCTTCCTCAATCTCAATCCCAACACCTGATATAAAACAAGAATCAACCCAAGCATCCGACAACTCACGACATGGGCAGTCTGATTTCTCTTAGCCAAACTTTGTCTGAGTGGCAGTAAATCAAAGTTGCACAATACTTTGGCAGCAACGAATACCAGGGGTGTCGGGCAGATGCCAAGAGGAGGTCAAATAAGTCAACTCCAACAGATCTGCACCATCGTTCGAACATCTCCTTGCAGGAGATGGACATCAATCCGTGGGGTTTTCCCCACTGGATTGGACTCCACGCAACTAGCAATGAGGACATTCAAGGACATAAGACTACCTCTACATTTGAACAGCTTCATCTCTAAAAACAACCATTTCTGCATACACTAATCCATTTCTCCACCAAGCAGCCAGCATGTTGAATAAAACGTAGAGCTTGAGGAAGGATTCGCCCCTGATGTAGTGATACATCCTTAGATCAACTTCACGAGTTGAGCATGTAAAGAGCGTGGATAAAAAACAATCTTGGCAGCAATTTTATAGTTGCAATAAATAACTCATACAGTAATTTATGACAATCTATGTAGTAATAAATAGTTTGAGACTATTATTGCTGGAATTATATATAGATACTATTGATACATATATATATGTATAGATACTGTATTGATCACCGCTTCTGCATACGGCAAGTGTCCAGGAGACATCAAAGATCATCAGGATCAGAGTCACATTCCTCAGCTGCAACCCTGGACCAATGAAGCTTGTGAGTTTTGCATAGAGTGCATCATTGCCGTGCATCATAGTGCATCATAGTGCATCCAAAATGCAAGATTAGAAGGGACAAACGAAGGAAATCACCTGAGGTGATGTCCAGGAAATTCTCGATGGATTCATCGAATCTAAACATGCAATTCCAAAGGGAAAGGTTGCCATAGTATAGCTGTCTTTCTCGTGTTCATATTACTCAAAAACTGAGAAACAATGCGTCTGCCAATCTAGTTTTTTAAACAAGTAAAATTCATATGCAGCAATATCTCTTGTCACTACTGAGGCCCCCCTCACTTTTTGCCCACACAGCAAGCATGAAAATAAACACCTACCATCAACTACCTCTAGAATCCAACTAGAATCGAACTGCACAACAAATCTCTTGAGATCTCTTGAGGTTGTTGGGTGGTTGGCTTCAATTTTGCACACCCAAACATCTCGGGGTCTTCCAGGACGTGCCTTGCTCAGTGATGGTGAGTGCTCTGCGTTTCCCGGAGGCCTCAGAATCAGTAAAATCTGCGAGGGCAGCTGTGTCAGCTGACATCCATTCCACGATGCAAACAAGCAGCTGATGTACTATGGTTCCCACCTGTGCTGTGACTGTCAAATTTTGAAACATCTGAAGATGTCTTTTGCAGTTTGATCTGGGCCATCCTTGAATGAATTGAACTCGGAATGTAGATGAATGTAGGCTGTAGGCGATATGAGTGGGGAATCCAATAGGACTTGTAATCAAACGAGTTTGCACTATCAGACTTGCCAATCTGCTCTGCTGCCGCTACAAATTCTTGTTCGAAAATATCCTAGATCCATCTAGATCCGGCATCTTCTTACTGACACTATGATAGTATTGAATCCTGGCTCTTTTGCATCTCAATTCCTACCATGACATCTCTAGTCAGGTCTTGCCTCTTTCTGACCAGCTCCCCCAACGTCGCAAACCCAATGTCAGTTGCAAGGAGGAACGGATTGCCTGCGAAGTTTCTGTACTGCTGGGGCGGTTGGCAAAAATCACACCGGAAGTTGAGACTAATTTACATAGTCATCCTATGTCATCCTGAAACCAACCACGATTCCGTGCTTCTGGTAACCACTTTGGAGTCTCCAAGTTTGGAGACAGTTGAACCATGTTGAATTGCTGGGTGGTAGAGGCCTACCAGGCCTACCAGTCTACTCAGTCCGGAAATGGTCCTGTCAGTGTCTTGAAAGCTTCCACAGACCTTTCCGACTCTGCCATGGATTCATCAAACATGTTCTGAGGTCTGGTCATCAGCCCTTAAACTTGCAATTTGTTGCTGTTTTTGTATCGACCTCCCCTAGGCAATTGCACCTTGCCATCCCCCCTCAACCATTCTCTTTCAACAGCCTGCAAGGGAGTGAAGCTCAGCTCGTGCAAGAGGATGTCAAGGCAAAGAAGGAATCCCAATAGCAAGAGTTTCCTGAGCCCGGAATCTGCACCTCTCAGTGGACCTGCCGTTTCGGTGCACCCCAGTGAGCACGAATTCAAAGACCATTAAAACATATTAAGACTGCAGAAAATTGACAGAAAATCCTGAGATCCTTGGGCCATCTGCACTCAACTCTTGGGCCAGTTTTGAGCTGAGACTTCCGAGCTGCTCAAGCTGCTTCGGAACATTGGCCACCTCCTGGAGGTGACTGCGAGGTATTCGTGGAAGCTGCTCCTGGCCAGCAACTCAGCTCTGCGGTTGGGGTGATAAAATGGCTACGATCATCTATGATCATCTATGATCATCTATGCCACCTATGTCATCTATGTGATTTTGAGCCCCATGTCTGTTGGAATCACTATAGCCTATAACTATTCACTGGAACTGCACCCCCAAGTACCTACCTACTGCAACTCACAGTGTTTGACCCATGGGGTATGTCAGGTCCAGAAATGTCCACAAAGCTCTATTCAGGCCTTACACAATCAACCAAAATCACTCTCCAAGGACCTCTCCAACCTCTGAACTCAAGCGGCTCGTATTTTTGAGGTTCTGACTCCTATGTCATACTTGGATGTGTATTTCAGTTGATTTCAGTTGATATAGTTGATAGCTGGTTGGTAAGTCTGCTACTACTGGGGCTACCCCAATAATTGGATTTTAATCATGATTGTGTATTGATCGTAAACCATATTTACTAATTGGGATGCACATCCAATTATACTTCATGCGAAACTAGGCTTGGTCCAAAAAGAACGGAGCAAAACAACCCTGAACATGGCAGTTTCCAAATATGTCCACCCAATTTTACTCGGGACAAGGATGCTGTCAACATGCATGTGTTTCCTAAAATATGGCACCCCTGACGATCGGTTTCCCTTTTTTTCAAAATGTGTGTCCATCTGTGGGTGGTTTCGACCCTCATTTAGGTGTGACTAAAAATGGTGTGTGTGTGTGTATATATATATATATATATACACCATCAAAACGCCAATTTCAATAGGGAAGATTCAGTTCAACCACTGGATTTTGGCATGCAATTTTAGGAAACCCCCTAAGAATGATGAGAATATTGTTGTTGATAATAATAACAATACTTGATAAATCTTCATAATACTTCATAATACTAATAACAACCCTCCGTTAAGACCCATCACATTCATAGTAACACTTCACAATAACTAATAATTAATACTCAATAGTGACTGAAATTACTTCATAATACTAATAGTACAATCGACTATCATTTAAATTCATATAATATAATACGAATAAAAGATCTGGTTCAGTATACCATCCTTTCGATCTGTGGCCTCATCCGGCCGACTGCGCAACTCATCAAGCAGCCAGGCGAAGAAGTCAGGTTCCGCCTGGGATATGAAACTAAGTCATTGGGATGAGTGTTCAGGTATGTATGAATATGTTTAATCATAATCACTAATGAACGCTAATGTAATCACTAATGTATGAATGTTAATATGTTAATGTTAATGAATATCCCAACAATCACTAAGTGCTTGAGCATAATGTGCTACCCTGTAAATCAGACGTGGCAATGGAAAATTCCCCATTGGATGATTTCTTCAGTTAAAACATCCATTTCTAGGGGATGTTCCATTGCCACATTACTTTGATTACCAGAGGCTTTGTTTTTTTTGGAGTAAAACTCTTCACAAACTTCTGGTTGTTTTTTTATTTTTTTTTGGGGGGGGTACCCAGTTTGACTGACACCCGAATTGACCACTGGCAGCTAGGTTTGTTGGATCACCAGAGATCCACATGCTAAGAACTTTGCCTGCAACGACTGCAACGACATTTACAGCTTAATGCTTGGAGATGCATAGAGCAATGCGTGCTTTAGCGTAGGCTCAAGCAGTCAAGCATGCTGCATGAAATCTAAGTGCCCGCATGTGTGACAGTGACATCTTCGAAGATCTTCAAGTCATCTGGGTGATGTTAAACCTATATAATATATAAAACTCGTACATCATTGAATTGTATAGTAGATTATAAGTGATTATAGTAGTCAGCAGGCAGGATGGAATCAGCAGAGTGCAGTGATTCGCTGAGACAAGGCTCTTCTTTGGATCGCTTCTCTGCCACAGCAGCTGCTACAGATTTTGCAGCAGATGTTGCAGCAAGCGCAGTAGCACAAGCATCGTGGACTCGAGCTGGACAACCTTAGCGATGAATAATCACCACAGTCAGAGCTTCTAACATCCCCAATTGATCACATATTTATATAAATATATACAATTATATACATATATACAGGGGACAGTAGGAGCTTCTTCAAAAGTGGAGGCTCTTCAGTTTCTCAAAACTGTAGGAGCCATCTTGCACAAAATGCAGCCATGCAACCATCAGGAAATTCCTGAGGCCTGGCCAGCATTGGAATGCAACTTCAATCATGTAACCCTTGATGTAGGGGACTTCAAAAGATGGTGGACAAGCGAGGCTGCAACCGCTATAACCAACTTTGTTCTGTTTGGATCAGGAATATCTTGAAAAGGCCAGTGACTTACAAATTCTTCCCGACTTTCTGCATCCTGCTGTGTCAAACTTTGATAAACCCATCCCCCGTTTATATCAAACACGACCAGTCTATGGTCCCAACATGTACCAACCATGTGGTTTCAACCCCTGGACCACAGTTTCTTGGGCACGTTTCAAATTCCCATTCATCATAATTATAAATCTTGGTTATAGATTCCCATGAAATATCTCCCCATTCACTTCCCATTGGTCCCATTAATCCGACGGATATAGAAATTCCTTCGCCTTGGCGTTCTATATTCCCAATACATTCCCATTATTTATCCCCTATCCCATTATATCCCTATAAATACTGGCACTTTATACCCAGTCTATTCCACTATATCCCCATGACATATCCCATCTTCCCATTGTTATCTGCCAGGATGGGATTGGACACCATCTGGGTAAATTATCATAATTCACTCACCTGAATAGTTCGCCCATTTGGGGATGATTTCCCGTATACTAACCATGATTCCCAGGGCTCGGTCGTAGTGAGGTCGTTATAATGGTACCCTCTGGTAATTTAACATAGCTATGGAAAATCACCATTTTTGATGGGAAAATCCACTATTTCTATGGTCATTTTCAATAGCTATTTTGACATAACCAGAGGGTATCCAGACACCATGGAACCCCCGTTGTTTCAACGGAAATCGCCTTGGATCCGACGCGGCACGTTTCGCCAGCCGCGTCTTGAGGGACTCCGAGCTGCTGGGGCGTTCGGGGCGGCCGCGCTGGGGCGAAGGAATCGGCGGCAAAGCCAAGGGTTTGAGCGACGCCTGGGACGGGGGGTACCCCCAAATCATCCGTAAACCATCCAGCTGTTGGGGGTACCATTAATAAACCATCCAGCTGTTGGGGGTACCATTATAAACCATCCAGATTTATATGATTTATGGTATTTTTAGATTTTTTTAGAACCATGATTTATCATTGTGATCATTATATATAAACCATACAGCTATTGGGATGCCCCCATTCTAGGAAACAGAAAACCTAGGAAACCTCCATAAATGGTGATTAAACCCAATGATATCCAAATGATAAATTTCCCCATGGGGGCATGACTCAACTATCCAGTCCATTTCTATCCATTTCTGATAAGTTCTTGGGATGGCATTCATAATTTTCCCCAACAAAAATCACCCCAAAAAAACCATTCAACACTTCAACACCAAGCGTTTGACCATGGATGGTATGGATTCATAGATTGCCCAACACGCCACTGCATCCCAAGAGCCATCGATGCCGATGCCATCGAAGCTGCTGGATAGTCCGGCAACGCTGCCACCGTTTCGCAGCGCGGCAGTTCCTTCGGAGTCCTGGACACTGGAACCTCGCGCTCAGGTTCGCTGTAGTATGCCACATCATCCTGGAAAATGACCGGTGACATTGATTGAGATTGGAAGTTCCCACATTGATTATATTGATTGACATTGAGATTGATTGAGATTCCAAGGTGTTTCCGGAAGTTGAGAATCTTGTGCCACTTGAAAATGTAGGCCTGAAATCATTGTGTTGGATGTGAGTTGAATGCCGATACAGAAAACGGTTGAGTCCTCCTCTGGCAGTTCGGCTTGAACCTGCATTTTTTCGAGCAAAGCTGCGATTTCAGCCAATCTTGAATCTTTGCAACCTCTTCTGAGCCTTCTGCGACTTAACCGGACAAAAACCATATCAACCAGAATGAATCACAAAACCCATTGGCCACTTGCGAATGTCTATACGCTACCCGTCAATCCACTGTGCATCATAATGTTCCCTATATTTTATTTAGCATTTCAGGGGTATATCCAATTTTCAAACACACTGATATTAATTACATCGTTGGAAATGATCCCATCATATCATCATATTGAACAGCCATCAAATATCCCCATGAGATATCCCTTGAAGTGGCATTTTTCTCCACATTTGTTGCTTAATTCCAGATTTTCCACCGTGAAACCCACGGCCGGACAAAGGAAAAACAACGACGAAGGCCGAAGGCCTGGCCCTGCGAAGCGGCCGTTGCGCGACGGCCTGGAGTCTTCCTGTGGCGATGGAAGCGGTTCACTGTAGCTGTTATGTATGACATATAATTGTATATACATATAAATTATATCAGGAATAATCAGGAACTATCATATATCTGATATTAAATTGTTTGTTATATATAATTGATATATATATATATTATATTATCAGGAATACATAGGTACATGAATACAGTATACATGTATCTATGTAATACATACATAAAACATATATATATATGATAATTATATCTATATACCATAGATGTTATACGTTTGCCATGATTTTATTCATGTTCAATGTTTCTTCGGGAGATTCTCCCCTCGTGTCGCAATAGTTATGACTTATCAACAGCATGGTTTGGTGGGGGATAGACTGTAGATCCCTGACAAAGGTTGAGATAAACAATTGCAGCACAAGTGGTGACTTCTCAAATACAAATGGGGGTACCCCAAAATGGGGATGGTTAATGGTTTATCATGAAAAATCGTATTGAAATGGATGATTTGGGATTGCACCCATTTCAGGAAACCTCCAAATACAGTTTGACGTCCTTAGCCTTTTCCTTCTTCCTGCGCAGAACTACACATGGAGCTACGGTTCCTTATCTTCAAAACTGTTCGAAGCCAAAGATTGAAAGTATAGCAGTGCTATAGCAGAGATTGCTTTCACAACCTGTTCCGTCGTAGCTGAACCTGTCAACGACGTCGGCTGGGTCAAATGCTTGCTCATTTCGGGATGATTCAGCTTACTAAGCATCATTCCAGTGACGTCACAGTGAGGTCATTACAATCCAAATGATAAGGTAATGGATGGTAATTAATGGCCAATTATATGAAGGCTTACAATTATGGATTATTCATATGAACTAATATATTGATTATATAATATCACTATATCTTATTAATATCCTATGAATGTTTGGGAAGAGTCCACCGTTGGCTTTCCTTCTTGGATTAAACCGGCCAGGTCAGGTAGTCCCAGCGTCATAGAGCCAAATCTTGCCAACTCTTCAGCGGTTGGCAGCACCAACGTGCTACCAATACTCATCCACATAGGACCTCATCAGGGTGGGTGTCTGGAAATGTGTCTGTTGCCGCAACAATGTTTACCCTCTGGTAAACTAACATAGCTATTGAAAATTGCCATAGAAATAGTGGATTTTCCCATTAAAAATGGTGATTTTCCATAGCTATGTTAAATTACCAGAGGGTATTTTAATGGGCAAAATGATGATAAACATTGATAAACTATGGGATTTTGGGGTACTCTATGGTACTCTATTCTCAGACAAACCCAAATGAACACTGGTGAACAGATTGAAAGAAAAAATAGAAGGCCATCAGTTCAGCCTGCATCATCTTGAATCCTGAATCATTCTGCATTGCTGTGTTTGAAGTGCAGTTGGCCGTTTCCAACTATTTGAAGAGATGCCGGTGTAAGTGGGTACACTACTGCCAATCTTCAGAAAATGATTGAACAGATTGAAATAGATACCCTATTCATATACCTATTGTTGGGACATGACAAGCCCAAAGTGACGCGGACTGGGCTGCTCAGGTGAAGCCAAGCAACTCTTGCTTCCATCTTTTTGGCCCAAACCATCCTGGAAAGTGACACCCGAAGCTAATGGAACAGGGGCAACATGGAAATCCTCCATGCAATTTGACTTAAACATTATCCATCAATATTATCTATGAACATGTGGATTTTCCATTGCCATCTTTGATTCCGGAACTATAGGACATGTTAACATATGTTAACCACAGGTTGGCACGCAACGCCAATGAGAGTTGCATCTCTAACGGCTGTGGGTCAAAACCCTGGTACCCTGGTGAACACCAAAGGTGAACTTATAAATGGATTCCTCGGCGGATTCAAATGAGAAGGTATTGAACCCTTTCTTGATGTTTCTACCGACTTCTTAACGGAAATCGGATATCATTTAGTAAAGCAGTAGTAAAGCATCCCCAAAATTACCATAAATAGGTGGTATAAACCATCAAAATATGAATTGTATATTCTTGCTTTACTAACATTCCCCGCGATTTTTGATGGTACCATAGCGCCATAGCCCCGCCCCGCTCCTCCTCGAAGAGAGACTCCAAAGGTGATGGTCGGCTGAGTCCGCAGGGTCTGGGCAGCCCCCCAGCAACCTTATCGAAACATGGCGGTTTCAAGATAATGTTTCGAAACATGAAACACAACAGCGATGTTTCCTAAAATGGGGGGTACCCCACGTCACCATAGCTTTCAATACCATAATAGCCTAATTTTGGATGATATTTGAGGGTACCCCCATTTTAGGAACGACCCCATATGATTTAGTCATAGGGGATTGTCATCCTTGCAAAAGATGTAACACATCTTTGAAACCACCAACCAAACTGGTCTGTGTGTGGGACAGGAGCCAACGACTGCCTTGAGATATCTCTTCAAATAAGATTAAATAAGTATATGGCAGGTGTCATGAGCACTTCCTGAAATTCTCTCCATCCTTTCAATTTATTGGAGCTCTGGTTTAAAATGTATCAACAATAATTACTGCAATTATCTGCGCACGGCTTTGGGCGCTTTCTTTGTTTCCAGAATTTCTGATTTCGGCCAAAGAACTGCAGCATCTTTCAGTTGTCTCGGTGGACTTCTTCCCCGGCCTGCGGATATCGATAGCCATCTGATGCCATCTGATGCCATCTAATCCATGATCCATCATCATCACCACAGGAATGAATATTAATGTATGATTAATGATTAATATATGATTGATATGTATATGAACAATAATGGTAATAATCCGGAAAAGACACTTTTTGTGCTGGCTGGTGTCCTTTGTGTATGCTTTCGGAGCATCAAATGGCGTTCTGGCCCGTTTCTTTCTTTTGATTGAAGCACTGCATACTCACAGGATACCCATGGATACCCTACCAACATCGCTGAAAACCAAACCCGCCTGGAAAACCGTTCTGTCCAAGTGCAGCAGTTGCCATGGCTCCACGGTGTCATTCAAAAAGTCGAAAGCAGGGCTTGGCGAAGTGGTGGGAGCTAGTCACATGCACGCAGCAGTTCTTCACTAGTCATGACAAGTTCATGAATCATGACATATCGTATCATACCATGAGACTGGCAATTGTGAGACTTGTTCTTGTCACAGATTTCCTACATATTGACATATTAAATCATATTAAGCCCCACAGATTTCTAAGACATGTTGCTCATATTTGGTCATGGTGTTAAAACAGCTTCATGGTGCAGCTGACTACCATGGCTTCAGCAGCTGCAAACGGCCCAGCTAAGTTGCAAACGACTTCCTCCATCCTCCAATGACTCATGGTCCATTGTTCTACCAATGGTTGTATCCATATGATTTAGTGTCTTTGTGGACCCAGTAGGCTTATGTTTACTCATGTCATGTTTTATCCCCCAACACCAAGCATTCACTGAATATGACATTCGACCCATTGCCAATGCTGGCATATGCTGCCCATTCAGAGCATTCATCTCCGCAAGCCCCTTTCTCTTACTCTGACGCGACCGATGCGACACCCTCGGGTTGTCAATCTCTTGAAACGGGCGAAGCCATTGGCGAAGCCATTCAAACCATGCGACCGATGTTCCCTCCTCTTGATGATGACCTCCAGGCAACGGGAAAATGACCCATTGATGTTGCGACGCAGTCGAATATGTCGAATGATTCATGAATGAAAATATGAATTGACTCTACCAAGGTAGACCTCAGAACATCAGGCAAATATTAGGGCAAATATTGACTCTATCTGTCTATAAACATGATATGGATATCACATGTGGATGTTGCCTCAAAAGTGAGAGGATGATACTGCTCCCAAACGCACCACACATGGGATCAAATGGGACCAGAAAATAGACCATAGCTTTTGTGTTGGATGATGGATAACATAATGTATATATATATATATAATTATGTGTATATATAATAATCATATATATAATTATATATATAACATATGGTAATATAAAGTGCAATCAGTTGCCCTCGTTTTCTGGCCTTTCGAAGCTGCAAGCCTCGCTTTAGCTGCGAGGAAGAAGCCCTTCTGGCCAAATGGACTGTTCGGCTCATGTGCCTCGTAGCCTTGCAACGCTCCCATCATCATTCAAGTGATATGAAAGAATATGAAAGATTATGAAATGTTATGAAAGAATGCTAGAGAAAACATGCGGAAAAATGGCAACACGACAAATTCCTTGCGGTCCCCAGCCTTGCTTCTGCCACCAAATGACTTCCGTGGAGCCTTCACTTGAGTGTTTTTTTCAGCCAGCTAGCGAGGGACATGTAAACAGCAAAGGTATTGTTCAGACAAAGCATCGACAAAGCAGGCCTTTCGTGCTTTCTGCAGGAGGGCAACCTGTGCGTCAACAACATAATCACTTACCCGTTCATTTTGACACTACAGTGCACTACAGGGAGAGGTTTAATGTTGGTCTTGAAGGTCTATGTGTCACCTTGCGGCAAGCGCCATCTTTGGGCGTCTCGGATTCAGGTGCAACCGGTGCAACCTGTCATGCTGGCCATTCGAAATAAAGCACTGTGAAGGCACAGCAATTCGCAGGGCACGCCCAAATATCCTCGGTCCGCTCCGCTCCCCAACCACGCAGCCGGTCCTGCCAAACTGCTCTCTTTTTCTTCTCATTTCTTAGACGGCAAAGAAGTATAGGAATTATCCAAAGTGTACCACAACACATGTATATAACAATTATTATGGACCCTACATTACATAAACAATTGATAATATATAATTACTTCATATTTCTATCACATATTACCATTAGATTGCATTACTATACATATTATACATGCAACTTTCCCCAGACTGACCGTTAGTAAAACCCCGCTCTCGGCCCGTCCTCCAAAGGGTCTGGGCTCCAATCAGCCACGAATCCAGGTGAGCTTCGGACGGCAGCGTCCGAAGTCGTGGTCACGTAGCTTCGGGTGGTCACGTAGTTCGAAAGAAAAATGGCCTTCAAAGAGGCTGAAGATTGGAAAGTGTTCCAGCCTATGGCAGTATAATTGTCATGCTTATGATTTGGGTGAAATACATCGTATAGTATACCAATATCCAATCAATATCCACTATTACGACATAGTCCGTAATCAACATCAATCAAGCTGGTAGCAAGCCATGAACAGGGCTATCTTTAATGGACGCCTCGGGGATGCGGTGAACATTGCCCAACTGAAAGAATTCCCGACCTCCCTCAACAATCCTCTATTTTAATTACTGGTTCATTCTCATTCCATGGACTTTTAAATGGAGTTTTAAATGGAATTTCAATAAAGTTCATGGAATATCATGGAATACTGAAGCAAACCATTCTTGTGCCATATTGTATCATATTGTGGCCCGTCATGGGCTCAATTTAAACCCACATCTTGCTCCGCCGCCTGCGAGTCACAGGGCTTGCCACTGGTGGACATTGGTAGGAATCCCATGTTTCCAAGGTGGACCGGTGGGGAAAGGATTCACTATGGGCTTTACCTTGGGATCTTTCTTTAATGAGAGTCGTCCAAGGAGCCAATTCGTTTCGTTTGAACAAGAACTCAACTGCAGTTTCAATACCATCCAAAAGATAAGGCTGGAAAACAGCTGCTGGAGACCTGCTGTCATTATGTCTTGAGGCTCAAAATTCGCTGCGAATTGCATTTCTGTTTTGGACTGGGAAATCGCACTAAATCAACATTAGTAAGTGTGATGAAATGCTTTTGGCCATGTCTCCCATTTTGTCTGCAAGCGTTGTCTTCCATGCTAGGATCTAGATCTACATTATTGCATGCTTGCTCCATCCCATATGATCTGTCCGTGTGTTCAAGTCAAAGTCATAACCTGTGTTCAAAATCCGTGCTCTGTTTTCTTTCTTGTGCGCTTGCAACCTGCTGCCGGAACAGCTTAGCTCACCTCGCACCTCTGGCGGGCCCCTACATCTACCGTGAAGGTCTCAGTGGTTGAACTCCCAGGAGAGCACCAGTCTGTGTCAAACACGTGCTGCCTCTTCACAGTGACTCCACAGGTTTAAATTCCCAACAGAAACCAAATCTTGGTGCGCTCAAATGCTTCCTGGTCTTGCAAGAGTCAACATTTCAGGCCTCATGGCTGAAGAGCTTCCTGCTAGCTGTACTTCCTTAGCAATTTAAATTCTCTCACCATGGATTTGCTCTGCTACCCCTTGGTGCCATGACAACCCACAACTGATGTCAGATCGTAATTTAGAGACCCTCTTGCCACGGAGCAATCAGCATGTCTCAAGAATCAGATCCATTCCAATCCCTGTGTTTGACATTGCCTGCAAGCCTCCTGAAGAGGATTACGCACACGCGCAGGCTGAGGTAGATGATCATGAACACACTGTCATCGGCTCAGAGGGCATCAGAAACAGCAATGTGCAAAAGATTCAGCATGTCAATTGAGACCAACACTCTCAAATGGGGATCGGATTGGGAATGTTGCCGGGAAATCATTGCAAGGATTGGACGTCCTTACAGTACAACAATGAGACAAATCTCCTTGGCAACAACATGCTGCACGAAGCGGCTCACAAACAAGACAGCGACGCAGAAACCCTTGCAGGATCTCATTTACAGGCTGTCTCTCTGACTCTTCATTGTCATCTTTTGACGGCCTCCAAAAACTGTCTACGGCTCGAGGGTGACCATTTAACTTTGAAGCTCTAGTCTAGCCAAAATCTAGCTTCTCTAAATTACAGCATAGCTATAGAATATCTATTAGTATATAATATAATATATATATATTAATATATTTAAACAGATTTAATATGATTTTATAACTATTATATCTCACCTGTATGATAATTTAATGTGAATGTATTCAAGACCTACAATTGGTAAGTGCAAAAGTCTTGAATCAGCTTGAGCCTCCGCGGCTGATTCCGTTTCCGCGACTCGCTGCCTACCGTGATCGAATGCTCGACCCTTGCTGATATGTTGAAACAGCAATGTTGATGGTCCAAACACCGTGGCTGGAGGGGGCATCCAACACCATATAAAACCATCAAACAAAATTCATCCAATTCATTGGGATTGATTATGTTCAACATATTTTATCATTTGAATTCAAATGTCAGAAACAATCATTTTTACCAAAGTTCATCCAATGTTCATCATGATAAACGTTCATAGCCTGTGGTTCATTGATATTGATTGGGAATTCTTCCTTCTCCACATTCCACATTTCATGCCTCTCCGCTCGGTGTCAGGTCTTCGGTGGCGCAAAGCTGGTAAGGCAACCTGGGGCCATCGAGACAGATTACCCAACAAGGTATCTGCATCACCATTTGTTTAGCTTCATAGGATTTATAATTGTCATGATCAAAATTAATAATATTACTTAATATTACTATAATTATGTATATATTATATATATATGATTATATAACTATATAACTGTTATATGTTTGACTATGTGTGTATATACATATATTATATTATTGTAATGTTTTATAAATATTTAGTGATATTACGTAATAAAACATCATTATATGCATGGAACATTATGTAACTGTATATATTATTGGCGTTGTTGTCAGATCAATGCCTCAGTTACTCAGCTTCCAGCCCCAGCTTCAGGTGAGTCAACTGCAAGGCCAACCTGACTTTTGATCCACGATCCACTGAATTCACAGTGGCTTTAATGGGGGGATAGATCGGATAGGATGATACATTCTACAGGGATGGGTCATGATGGGTCAATATTTAAGACTCAGGGGACCAGAGATTTTAGAGGTATACCGGTATACCTTTAGGTATACCGAATTTTGACCCATACCCATCTCAGAACCGTTCAGAAGGCTTGGTTGCCAAAAAAACGTCCCGGCTCAGCCGTCCTCTGTTCGCCAACACCACTTCTCCAGATTTTCTTCTTCTCGTCTGCCGATCAAAACACTCCTCCTCACCAGGAATGATCAGGTCGCGGATGGTCGTGGCAACGCCAGTCCAACTCTCATCTGCAGAGTTCATGGTTCTTCAATCAACTCCGTGAACACTCCAGGGAGCATTGGATCATTCCAATGAAGGCTTCAACATGCTCAAATTTCAAACACAAAAATGGCAAAACATGGCAAAAGTGCCTTTGACGAGAGCATCCAGACAGTTCGGGCTCTGCAGCTCTGCATCACTATATAAGTCCCTGACCCGCATGTACGAGTGTCAAATTTCCGCAGTTCGCGAGTTTTTGCCAAGGTCGGTGATATCTCAAAGACTTCGCAATAGACCTTTGCTGCCAAGGCAATTTGGCTCAATTTGGATCTCCAAAGCCTACGGGGAGAAACTTTTGCCCAAGAACGAAACAGTGAGGTGATGTGAAGTGTGAACACGTTGACCTGCAAAGTCCGCTATGCACTGTTCAAACGTCACAGCATGTCACAGCACTTTCATGGCAAAGGCACTTTCTTGGGCCACCTTCTTGCAGCAGCACGCCTTGGCAAATGTCAGCATTGGGTCAGTTGGGTCCATCAAAATCTTCCAAAATCTGGCAGGGTCCCGGCTGCAAGCACCACAAGCGGCGGTTGTCAAAGCTAAACCATCGCTCCTGGGGACCCAAGTTCTTCCGATGCTCGACCTGTTGCCTCTGGAGACTTTACTTTAGAGAGATTTGTCAGGACATGCTTTGGCACTGCCGTTGCTACAAAAATGAAAATGCAATAATTATCCATCAATATCCATCTTTACAAGGTTTTCGAAGCCGTTCTCCATTCCTCCTGACTATAGAGCTCAAGACCATTCTCGTCCACTTTGGCTGCACCGTCTTCATCGCGCAGCTTGCAGCGCCACCTGTCTCAACTCACAATGCTTGTCATTCAACTCACAATTGCAAGACTGGAGCCACACGAGGCCTCGAGCAACACCATCATACAACATCCATCCCTCCATGCCCTGCGCCACTCCTCGTCACTTCAATTCGCGGAAAAGGGGGCAAGAGCAGCACGGCTTCCTCACCGTCAAAGTGGATGTCTTTCTCCTGCTTTCATACAAACCTCGAAACTTGAACTCACAACTAAGAAACATATGCAGTCCATTGTGTGGTGCACTTCCTCAACTCCCTCCAACGCAGTTTGCAAGCTTCGGCCGTCTTGAAACTCGTACCTGCATCTTGAAGCAGTCAAAATAGCACAAGCACGGACAAGAAACATCATAGAACCCGTATGAACCTGTTATGACCGCTATGACTCAAATTATCACAAACACACAGATTTTGGACACGTATTGTGGATTTCAGCTCGGGAGGGATGACCCAGGGGTCAGGAGCTTTATGGACCCTCCCTGCCAGTCAGTGCTTTTCTGATAGGAAATCAACCAACGAAGGTGCCGGATTCTGGTCTGCGAAAAGTGGATCTCCAAGGGCGACAAAGTGAGGACGTTCAGACCTGAAGCCTCAGCCACTTCCGGAGATTTGTCCGAAACTGCAGTTTTTTAAAACCCCCAAAATAACCAAAAAGATCCAAAAAGGCAATTGTCTATGCAAATGTGAGCTCATCAGTGACATCCAATATTCACCGCTTCTCTTAATACTTATATATACTTATATTATCCTATCCTATTATAAATAAATACTTCCTAGATCTTCCTGGTGCATGGATGTGTGGCGTGCCTGCTCCGTCATCTTGTTCTATCCGCATGACCTTGGACTGTTTCACAAAAATGGCCGCAAAAAAAGCCTGCTCTGTTGAACACCAAGCAACATATTACCCTCTGGTAATTTAACATAGCTATTGAAAATGGCCATTTATAGTGAGTTTTCCCATTAAAAATTGTGATTTTCCATAGTTATGTTAGTTTACCAGAGGGTAAACTCAAACTGTTACATTAATCTTGGATTCATAGGTCATCCCCGCGATGAAAAATTGTCGAGGCTCCAGAAAGTTCTGTTGGCATCCGGTGATCCACCATCCCAAAAGGCCTTCATGCCCGGCAGCTCTCATCCATGGGGTGGCATGACCCTGGGATGTTCCAGCTGTAGCGATTACACTGATCGATTTTAACTCAAAGCTGAAGCAAAGAACATTTATCCGATGACAATGAATATGATGCATTGTAGTTCTGGTGTTTTTCAGATTTCTGGGTTGCCATAATTTGCCATATGTTGCCATTGGGTATCAGCTGAATGGCTGATTTTTGTCCGTAGTGTTCTCCAGCTGAGCCTGATAGGACTCACCCAAGTTGAGGATCTTCAATTTTGACCCATCCACAAATTGCATGAAAAAAAAACACTCTCCAATGATTGACAAATGACAACAGGACCACACATGCGAAATCAATCAAAATCATGCAAATGAATGCAAATGGGATGGAACGGGTGGCTTTTGGATGCTTTTGGAACGCTTCAGATGCTTCAGTCATGATTCAACATACTCAAAATGCAATCAACATGCTACCTTTTCAGATCGCCTGGCTGCGAGCAGTCATTAAAATGGGTCGAAAACCGTCGATCTTCACTCGAGGGCTCGAAAGACTCTCTTCAGCACGTTCAGACTCATTTTAAATGCAATGAGTGTTCACACTCTAGTGTCATCGTGAAATACTTCCTTTCTGGAGCTCAGCAATGACAATTTTCCAATCAGTTGGGGCTCAAGAGCACACTCGCCAAAGCAGAGGCTCCAAGAGAGCCAACGCAGAGGCCTTGGTGGGTCTCGCGTGGCTGTACCACCGATATGCCAGGATCAACCAAGGTCGCAGCCAGTGTTGACGGAGCAGGCCTCAGAGATGGAAATCGCCTTGTTTAATTTCTGGATATTTCTGGATTACACCAAAAGAGCGCATAGTACACTAACAATCACTAGCACATAGATATCCAAAACTAACCGAACGTCGTAATTATACTGCATGTGAACCGCATGTTTAAAATGATATTGAATCTGCCATTTGAATAGATGCTCATGAATGCTGTATTCCTATCATCTGAATGCTAGAAACTCTTTAGTGCAGCTGCACTACGCGCATCTGGGGCACAGAAATTCGTCCACACGTCTTCCGTTGCTCGCTACTCAGGGTGGGGATCTCATTGATCACAATCAGGCACAGAGATGCCTCAAAACTGGAACAAATGCATCCAAATCGGTCAAAAAGGTCAAAAAGATTCAAAAAAAGGTTATAGTGGCCCATAGTGGCCCACAGTGGCCCTAGGGTGTTTACTCTTTTTAGTGCAGATTGGGTGGACCGAGCTGCGCAGTAGCCATTCAAGAAGCCAAAGCTTGCCACAACAGCCATCGAGAGAAGGTCACTCCCTGACTCCTCAGCGAAAGCAAACATCTGTGACACGCACTGCAGGCATACTCTTCACACAACTCTACCTGTATGGGGGTTTCCATAAATGGAGGTACCCCAAAATGGATGGTTTTATATGGTTTTATATGGTTTATAATGGAACATCCCTAACATCCCATTAAAATGGATGATTTATATAGGGGTACCCCTATTTTAGGACACCCCCATAATATATATATATACACAAGATATTATAAGATATTATAAGATCCATTGAGATCCTATGGTTGGAGACCGTTGGAGAATGTTCACCGCAAAGGCCCGGGCTGAGATTGCACAATAGATCATCAATGGCAAGAGAAGTGATCGCACGACGGCAGTCCACTGCAAGGCGAGTCAGAGAAATATACCTCACCTGCTGGTCCTAATGGAATGAACAACGAAAAATCAAAATCGAGCCTACAACAGCATGTCTCGCACAAAATCATCCCTTATCGTGAGATATCATGAGTCAAATGAACGAAGGACTCCTTTGTTTGAAATACAAGACTCATAGCAAGATCAGAAGATCAAGGCCTGAATGTTTCCATAGTGAAGGCCCACCCGATGCTGCGTCACAAATCGCGCTGAGATGTCAAAGAGAGTGAACACCTCGGGTCCAGAGGTCACGTGTCAGCAACTCCACCAGAATTGGATGTTAACAACTTCGGAATTTACACCCGGCATAGCAATTTCTATAGGGAAAATGATGATGAACTACGATATATATATTACATCAAAAAGCATGTTTTTTTGGGTGGGTTCTGACAGTGTGCCTTGAGGTTCTGACCGTTAAGAGAATTGTCTGAAACCAATGGCCACTTTTCAGCCACTGCATCTGCCTCGCAGTGACAACCAAGAAGCAACAGCAGTGACCGGTGATGAATCTCTCAATGGATTGGTTGGAAAATCTTAACGGGAAACCTTGGTTTTTACCATCAAATATGAGCTTTCCTGCAAATTATCCCTTCATCCAATTTTGGAAATATCATAATCTATCACATGAGCCTGCAGGGAATGGCAGTGATCAAGCCAGGGTAGCAAAATGTAGTCAGGGTGAAATTCGCAAAAATAACCTCAGAAGCACAAAAGGCTATCATGACAGTGAGCGCATGTGGGTCCAAACCATAACATCACAGCACAAAAGGTTCCTGCTTTGAACATGTCTCGCCGAGGTTCTAATTGGTTGAACCAAACCACACGAAACACTGCAGTGAAACTAGTGCCAGCCTGCAACAAAGTGAGCAGAGAAGGACTGTCAAAGAATGACCAATGACCAATGCTTCCTTGTCTTCAAATATTGCAAAAATATTGCCTCTGATTTGCAAGAAGACTTCAAATCTCATACAGCAATGGCTCCCAGTCTCCAAACCCTGTGGGTCTCAGTGATCCAGTACGAGTAGCCATCAAGTTGTTGGCACGTCTGTCTGCTTTATTAGGCCGCCCTGACCCCCTCCCCAAGCACTTCCGCTCATATCCCCTTCCCTGTGCCAATCGTGCACAAAATCAAGCCATACCAGGCATCTTAACACACAGTTCTACACAGGAATCCAATGGATTTGTCCTGAACTGGGATAAATCCCAAAACTGCATAAAAGTGCAAATGTTCATGGGGAAAATGAAAGTTATATAAACCGTCCGAAACCATTGGTTTTGGATGGTTTGGGGTCCGAATGCAGCCTGCAGCCTGCAGCCTACGGCGCGGCCGCGCCTCGCAATTCAAGTCATGCAGCCCAAGCGCAGACTCCTCATCCGACATCAAAAACACTCACTTCTAGGTGGGTTTGGCACATGGACTACACCGCACTGAAAACCTCCAAATCATCAAACTGAATTGAAACATCTGTATGTAAATCCAAAACACATTCCATGCTGCATTATCTGCATTCTCCAAACTTTCGGAGCTGCTTCAGCAACGAACTAGACTAGATCTAATTACAGTAGACACATGGCTCACTAAATATTGTTCCCAGTGTCAAAACCAATGCATGACAGTTGTCACTCCTCGGAGTCTTTGCACCCACCAGGGCTGAAACCTTGGCAACTGATGGATCAATAGCCCGGCACAACTTCTGGCTTTCTGAAAACACACTTCGCGGTGACCTTTTTGTTGGGGAAAATCAGAAGTATTGATCCACTCCAAATGGCCCAAATGGACAGCAGCCTTGGGCACAAACCACAAGCATATGGCAAAGGCGACTCAAAGCGAGAACTTTTGTCCAAGAGTTTCTCGTCGAGGTCCTAGAAACTGGCACTGCCAGGTCGCTTTTTGAAAGTGCCCATTTACTAGTCTTGAACATTGTCTTTTTACTATACTACATATCTATATATATATAAATATAGTGAATATATATATAATGTGTATATATATATGCTGTATATGCATTTATAATGTTATATGTTTTGTATATATATATGTATTATATGTGTATATATATAATTATATATGTATATACTTATGTTTAGCTGCATCTGGTAATCAATTTGTCAATACGCATTCGTAGGTGGGCACACTTGAAAATGTGGCAGCTCAGCACTTTGTTGTCTCCGTATGTCTCCGTCAGGTTTCTGAGCCATCCACGGTTCTGTCTATCACATGCCGAGAAATTGGCAGCGACATCAGCAGCCTGCAATGGCGGATGATACCACTCAAACTGTGAAGAGACTTCCCCAGTCCCAACCTGTAAGCAGAAATGCAAACGAGGACCGTGATCAGTGCAATGATAAAGTATGCACCTCGCTGTCGCAAAGGTTCACATCAAAATCAAAGTGACATCTATGTATTTATATATATATATATATATGATTCAATAGAATACATGTATGAGATCATGCATATATATATATATGTGAAATCTAAATATATCATATATTCTGCATTGTAGTATAAGCATGTATGAGCTATATGTTTTGTTTGTCGATTAGTTGGATGGTAATGAATGGTGGCACCATTTTCCAAAATTATAGCAAGTTTTCACCAGGATGATCCACGAAATCTGAGAATTGCTCTACAGCTGAGCATCTTACTCAGCACCCGCAAAGAATCAATAATTGATTACATCAGAAGATAAGAACCAGCACCCAAACAATTTTCAAGGGGGAGCCCATGAGCCACCTAGTTCCACAATAGTCAAGATGTTGCCATGGTGGTGAGTAATGTCAAGGATCTTCCTGAGGAAAATGCTTGTGGATCCACTAAATCTGAACATGTTTTTTACAGCTGCTGTATCTTATTCAGCACAACTCCAAAATTGGAATGCCAAAGGAAATAATGGAAAAGAGAAGGCACGAATGGAAAAGAGAAGGAATGAAGGAAAGGAAGACCAAAAACCTTTCTCAGCTTGTGGATTTCCCTTGTACTTTTGAAAAGGAACATGAATTACAGTAAAACTATATTTCAAATGAATGAAAAGCCTTAAGTTTTCCCAAAAGGAACATGAATTGAAAGTATAATTATATGTTCAAATGAATTAAACTCCTTATTTAGATTCATGACTGAGGGGTTCCAGGAAAGGTTTCGTTTCCAACATTCACACTGACTTGTGCCCCAGCAATTGGGGGCGGGTCTCCCACACTAATCAACATCCAACATTCATCCCGCCAATAATGATAATAATAACTTATATACAATAATACATGTATATTATAATATATATATAATATATATAATATGTACATAATTAATTATATACATAGTTTTTCATGATTATACCATATGTGTATTCGAACTTATTAACTTATTATCTATATATTGCATCAGCTTAAAAATACAGAAACAACAATCAGAGCCCCTCTTTGCACTGAGAAATGGCTGGGCCCATGGCATGTGGCATCGGCAATATCATGTGACATCAGGAGTTTGGTGATGTCGCGATAGACCACCGACACGAGGGTACCGAAGCCAATCCCTTGGTATCCAAGGGTATCGAAAGCCATGGTGACCTACGGGATCCCCCATTGATCCATTGTAGGAAACCTCCAAAAAAATATCAAAACACCACATTGAAAATTAATATGATTCAATATGATTCAGCTATAGTAGCTACAAATGATAGTCAACCAACTTTTTCCAACGGCCACGCTCTTGGTGCGCTGCCAATCTGCAAGTACTGCTGCATGTTGGAGCTGTACCTGTCATCAGAGTCATCACCATGACATGGCAGCGTTGATTTCACCAGCAGTTGCTGAGCGCACTGGGAGCAAAGCGACAGGAGGGCTGAGTCCAAGTAACCTGTTGCCACAGAGCCTGAGAGATCTGAGAGCAAGTTGCGATAGATCGACAAATATCAGATCAGCACATGAAAAAACAGTCCGTGTCATCAAGTGACATTGAGAAAGGATTCAGGATCTATTGATATTTATTCTATGTTGTGGATGTATGGAAATGTACATGATCAAAAACAATGCAAATCATACAACCACCAGATATCAACAGTGATACAGTGATACAGAATTGCTTAGCGGCTTAGCAGCGAACACAGCCAAGCAATGGAAATCACCAGGTTTGAGGAGCTCACACAGAGCAACGACTCCAAGGAGTAGTTGATACAGCCTGGCCGATCGCAGGGTGCTTGATCGAAAACCACCCTGCCACCCCCGGAGCCCGAAAAAAGATGAAAAAAGGAAGGGCGCACGTTGCAGTCGCCACAGGTAGCCACCTGGAGTCTTCCAAGCCCGACTCTTTCATTCTTGGAGTGGACAGCATCATAAATAAAGCTTCAAATGTGCCTTATATGACTTATATGTATGCCTTGTTACTGATTCCAATGATCAAAGATGATCAAAGTATATCAAAGTTCGCCTTCCAAGTGACATCAAGTGAATCAAGTGACCATCCAGGTGAAGCTTTCACTGCCGCAGTGCCCATCATGTGCTGTGCGCCTGAAAGATAAGATGCCCGCGAGACAAAGAAATTGCCCGATGAAGCCACCCATGATGCGACGTTCAAGCCTGCGAATGATGTTCTCCCCGTCCATTTCGTTTCATGAAACATTCCTATCATTGGCACCCGAAACCCTCTCCGTGGCGTTTAACACGATCTTTTCATATCTTTTCTCCATGCTGCAGTCTGATCAATGTGATGAAAATTGGGTGATAAATCCACGAAATCCATCGAAATCCACTGATTCTGCAACAGGAAACGCACAGAATGTGCGACTGAGGCTGCAGCACAAATGACTCTGTAAATGACAGTGCCGCCACTGTGATGATGGAGCCAACCTGTTCTCTAGGGGCGAGAAAAAATGTCACATTCATTGCCCAAGCTTGACTCAATTTGTCACCAAGAACCAACTTTTGAGGGTTAAATATGGTTAAATCATATCCAAATTCCTGCAAACACTGGTCATTTTCTGAACCCTTACTTCGCATCTTGGACCGCGACCGCCACATGTGCAGCGGGTATCAGCCGGTTCCCTCTGTTCTTTCACAGCATTTGCTGGGGGTCAATCCCTCTAGAACGGTTCACGGCCTTGTGAAGGCCTTACTAACTATATCCAACCATCTAGATAACATATGATACCCTCTGGTAATTTAACATAGCTATTGAAAATGGCCATTGATAGTTGATTTACCCATTATTAAAAATGGTAAATTTCCATAGTTATGTTAGTTTACCAGAGGGTAACATCTAGATACATCTAGTATTGGGGGGGTTCACCTTGGCGGGAGTGAATCCCTGCAATGGTCACCACATGTCACCACACCGTGACATTCGATGCCTGATACAGGGCAGTCACCGCAAACTCCACGTTGGCGTCGGGAAAAAGGACCTGCATTGATTTTGCTGTGCGCTCGGACTTTGCTGAAATAACACGTTCACCATTTCCGCAACACGAAGCCAGACTGAGCCGCCTTGCAAACAAGTCTGCAGTAACACTTTGAAAACACATTGCTAATCTTAGATAGTCTGCAAAAAAAAAAACTGCTGGGTATTGCCAAACCCTGGTCGGCCCAGCCGGTATCGACAATCCTTCGAGCTGCCCTCAAATCACTCGCCTTCCAATAGTCAAAGGCTGCCCAAATTGCGGCAATGGGGAAAAGATAGCCAATGCCAATCAGCATCATGCATAATTTCCTTGGTCGACTCGAATCTGAAGAAACTCACAACCGATTTCGATATTTATCTACGAAACCCCTACTTGGACAATCGCTGCGCCGCTGCGTTGAGATAATGTTGACATTCTGTGAACCTCCAACTGCACAAAAGCAATGCAGCAATATACAGCAATCACTGAGCTCCTTGCGCCGTGCTCTCACCGCGATTGTCAGTCAAAAAGGCTGCCATGGCTCGAAGTCTTTTGTGGTTTTCAGTCCTTCTTCGAGGGCCTTTCTCCATCAAATGTGTGGTACCTGTATTGCTGATAAAATAGTTTGCATCGTCAATTTTAAGCTTGACATACTCCTGGAGTCTGCTGAATGATCTGAATGTACAATACAGTATCAATGGATGTACACGGAGATATACGGTCAATGAGTTGAAGTTTTCGATGTGATATTGCTAGCATCAAACTTTGGGCAGTTCATCTGCAGCACAGAGTCTTCATGTCAAGGCTAGTTACGGAAGTCATGGAAAGCTGGAGATGCTTAGAATTGGCATGGTGAAACATGTGAGAACATGGATCCTGGATATGTGTCAACAGTGGGGTAGCAATGGACCCACACAAAATGTCAAAAAATGGGTCAATGTGTGGCATTGCAAAGATCATATAGTCAAAAATTGTCAAAATACATATCCACCAGACCATATCCATTTTGGGTTGGGTTGCTCCAAAATGACCCTGCTACCATCTGCTACCATCTGAAGTCAAAACCGATGGCTTTTCCCCGCTTTTCCCGGAGAACTGGTCAGCGGCACTAAGCTTTGAAAAGCTCAGCTTCGAGGTCATCTAACCTGAGATCCGAGGCAGAGTCATTGTGAATTACCACAGAAAACTGAAAACAAGTGGTGAAGCAAAGAATAGATAAGAAATGATAAGAATAGTAGTTTTTTTTTGCATTTTCTTGGGGCAGTACCTATTTGTACAAGAATGAAAATGTCTTCAAGGCATCAGTGATCTTGCACTGTGCTTGCTCTGTACCAGTATGCCGTGGGTTCTGTTGTTCCCTGAGTGTTGTCTGTGGTCTCCAGCTGGTCCATAAAGAGGTCGAAGTCCTTTCCAGTCACATCACTTGTCCGCCCAGAGGATTCCAATCCTTGTATTGATTTTGGATGATTTTGGAGCCCGTTTTTTTTTACACACAGCAAAAACGGTGAAATGAATCACTAGATGTCCTTTTCATAGCTCACCATTTTGCCAAGCCAAACCTCTGCTGGGCACTCTGCTGGATGCTCATATTGTCACTGGTCGAATCAAAAACCATCGAACCGGCATACCCAAAACGGCCATTCCAATGGGGGAAACAACTCATGACAAAGACTGGAATTTGGAGGTATATCATATGGTATATCATGGTATATCATGGTACACCCCATTTTGGACCAACCAATCTCAGCAAAACTCATCGAGCACCAAACCCCAAGGATTCGCAGCTCATTGCTCAGCTGCTCCAGCGAAGGTGTATCGATGAGATTCACCGTTTTGCAGAGCGGCCTCGGGCGACTAGACCTCAGGTTGAAGATGTTGAAATCTGTGGAAGATGTGAAATGTTGGCGACAATCACTCTGGTTCAAACCCTCTGAGTTGGAAACTCCGAGTTTGACTGCAACACCTAGGCATTTTTTTGGTTTTTCACAGAATGTTCATTTGATTCTTAAATTTTACAGTAGGTAGAAGTAGCAGTCAAATGATCTATATGATCTATCGATTTCCTCTCATTTTCTATCCAAACATCTTAACTCCACATTGGACATTGGATATTTACATAAAGGTTTACCACATGTCCATACTTACATGTTCTATCCTCTGTTTTTTTCAGCGGATATGCATGTATATATATATATTATATAGACTATAGAGATTTACCATGATTTACCACATCTTCTATCAGTATTCCACAATGTTCCACATATTTACCCAATGTTCCATGAATTCTCAGTGAATTCCAGTGAAGCAGCACCTCTTTGATTGCCTGCTGCTCGGTCACCGCATCGCCGATGCACACGACCTAAGAACTGTCGACATCGGACTGGTGGTCACATGCTGACAATAAACATCATGATTAATTATAAAAGATACCATGAATATTGAATAGATTTGAATATGTATGATAAAATACTTGTAATATCTTGTAATATCTTGTAATATCTTGTGATATTGGATTTGCTAGCAACCTACCGTATCGTCTTACGTCACAATCAGCAAAATCATGTGTGTCACAACCCCATCATGGGCTGTTGAGTGTCTCTGGCACAGTTGTCTTCTTGCAATTTCTTGCAAACAAGTCACATTCTGCTGCCAATTCGCGTGGCGGCCATAAAACTTGTCCAAGCACGCTGTCATGTCGATGCGTTTCGCTTCGACATATGGATCCCGGTCTGGCACCTCAAGTTCAAAATGTACCCGAATCATCCCTTCTACAACCTGATGGAGAATCCCCCATCTATCTATGATCTATGGATGATTTTCCCACACTAAATAGAAGTGAATATACAGTAGATGGGCGTTTTTCCATTGCCATTGGATACCTGGGTCACCTAAGTGTCTGAGAGCGCGGCAGCTCTGTAGACCAGGATGCGCAACTCTTGCTGCTTGCGGCATTCGGCCGCCAAAGAATCCGTGTTGCCATTGACCTGCGAAGCTGCTTCCACCCTTCCATCCCTGATATGAACTGATCACAATATGAGCTCTATAGGGATACCAACCAACAACTGTTCGGACACCAAAGTCACTAAGCATCACACCAAGCAAAGCCCAATTTTTTTCATGGGTAAATATCTATGTCTGTATCCATAAGACGTAGTCTGTGTGGAATGTTATGTAGCGTGTCTCTCAATATATTATGCATATCAAGTATAAATGTTTACGTAATATCACTGTGTGTACAACATGTATATATATAATATTATAAATCAATATAAATTATGATTATATTATATATATACATATATTTACAGGGAGCAAATGGGAGCAGCAATGTATATATTATGTCATGCACATGCGTGTATCGATGTGTAATATACTGAATATACAGTACACACCTTAAGAGCAGGCACCTTGGAAGGTTGGCAGCTTTCAGAAGCTCATTGTGAACTCATGAAAACCCCTTGTCTATAGCAGCCGGAACAAGTTGTATAATGTTGGATATATAAAGATAAAAGCTGACGAATCACCAGGCCATAAAAGCTGTTGCAAATCTGGTGAATGCATGTGAATGCTGCATTGGATAGCGACAGGCCATATGTCACATTCAAAACCCCACCCTGGTGAAGCCCCAGAGAATAGAAGAGTCCTCATAGCTCCATCACAAGAGGGTAATGACCTACATGTTCCAATTTGACAAAACAATTAGAGTATCCAACAGCTATAAAGTAATGACCTAATATTCCAATTCTGATGATTAACTTTTATCTAACACCTGTATTCCAGTTTGGCCTTTTTCAGTTTTTGACCCACATCCATCTCCTGAAATAGCAGCGGGATTATCCACGTTTCTAAGTCAGCAGGACGCCGAAGTGCCGCCGTTTTCTCGCCAAGATGTGACCGAGACAATTCGAGACAATTCGTTTCGTATTTGACAAACGAGGCGGAAGTGACCAAGCTTTAACCCTTCCGCCCAGTTTGTCAAATACGAAACGAATGGTCTCGGTATGTCTCGGTCACATCTTGTTGCTCTCCTCAGCGATAGTCAGCTTGAAATTTGAAATGCCTGAAGATGCCTGAAGGATGTCCCAAATGTCCGTATGTTTGTTTGTGTTTTGTCAATGCATGTCAATGCCATCTTGGCGAACTGCTTTTGCATCAGCTCCACTATACCTTATTCCCGAACTCAAAGTCCTCGCCAGTTTTAGACGCCTTGGCTTTCAGCTTCAAGCTGAAGTCATAAATGCGCCATACAAAGGAGTCAGTGAGGAAGAGTGCCTGTATGAAACTATTCATGTAGCAGGTGTTGTTTGTATTCTGCAGTCCAACGCTGGGCTGTTGGTGCGCCACTGCTTTTGATATCTCTGGGGACAATGTGTGAAACTCTGCTTGTTCGGTCAGCGGTTGCATGCAGTAGCGCGCCACCTCCGCTTGCTCATCTTGCTCCTTCGAGGTTTGAATTCAAGAGGGGTCCAAAACAAGACAATCTAAATAGCAAGACGGGATGATTCAACCAGAGATTGAACCAGGAAAAAAGGTGGAGGCTCAACCAGCAGAAATTGGAAATTTGAAACGCCGGAATGACAGTTTAAGGGACCAAATCTTTGATATCTTTGGCATTTGACTTCCGCTGCATGTATGGAGTCCGTTTGAAACGGCGTCCTTGTGTCTCATAAGGGTCTGCGAGCCAGCGATAGCCAGCGCACCACACAACTCACAAGCAAATCTTGGTCTGGACGCGCGGATGGCACATCTTTCCAAATGTGGGCCAACCACGCTCTCGCACTGCAAGCTGGTACTTCGCAGAGGTGGTTTTGCTTTGTACGTTTCATCAAGAGTCTCCAAAATTTGGAGGTTTCACTATTGGTGGTGTGGCCCATAGTCTCTTTGTCCAAAGGAGATTTCAAAAAAAGCAGCTGTCTGGTCCACATCTCTGTGTTCCGGGAAGAGCCACGAGAGGTTCTTTTTCACTTGGCCATGGCTCAAAAATGAAGCCACAAAATTACAGCAGTCGTTTTCGTACAAACCCATCCATTTTGGTTGTAGCCAAATCAATCTAAATCATACTAATTTCGAGCCATACCCACCTTGCCGAACTCAGAAGTCACAAAAAGTGGATGGAGCTGAAGTTCTCCCAGCATTTGAATGTTCAGGTTATGCATCCAGTGCATTGGCAGAGGCTTCTCAAGGACTGCTTGGACCCAAAAACCAACTTCATGGACGGCCATCTGCTGAAACCAAATGCTGCGCCCCTCCACGTACTTTTGCTCCAGGGGTTTCAGCTCCAGCAGGTGGCGCAACCGAAGCTTCACCGGAAGATGCTGAGGTGGATAAGTTGGATACGCCATCCCACATATCCCACCACTTTGCACTTTGTTGGAAGGCCACCATGTGACCCGGCTGCCCACATCCGCAGCCACAGTAAGCACCAGGCACCACACCAGCCATGAGCTTCTATCGGCACCGATGGACCCTCAGGCTCTACAACTCGATAGTGTGACGTGACGCAGTGACGTGATGGCGATGAGCCCAATGCTTCGGTCGCATTTCATCGATGTTCTGTCAGCAATAGGTCTTTTAGGAGTCCAAACCCTGTGCGAACAACTCCAATGTGACAGTGTGACAGTGTCGACACGTTGTCCCTTCCATTCCCTTCCCATTTCATACATTTCATCCCTCGCCTCGGCAAAACGATCTCCAGGCTGAACAGCGCGGTCAGGATAATCTTGATTCCACTGCTCCATCAAACCACCCTCCTCGATCCTGGCCACAGCCAGTGATCCGTCAAACTCCCGAATGATGTCGACGCCTCAGGAGATGTTTGGGATCGATGGGAGATGTTTCTGATCGGTGTTTGGTGGGGATGATACAATTGAGATTGAGGATGCTTGGTTGTGTCAATGAAGTGGATGGGTAGGTAGATAGATAGATAGACAGATAGAGAAATAGACAGACAGGCAGATAGACAAATCGACATACAAGAGACGAATAGACAGACAGACAGACAAACGGACAGAGAGACATGTAGAAATATAGCCAAATAGACAGATAGGTAGATAGACAAATAAGTAGAGGGGTAGATAGACAGATAGGTAGATAGGTATAGCTAGACAGATAGGTAGATAGACAGTTATACAAATAGATACAAATAGACAGATAGACAAATAGATACACATAGAATCAAATAGACAGATAGACACATAGATACAAATAGACAGATAGCCGGTTAGGACAGACAGACAGACAGACAGACAGGTAGATAGATTAGACAGATTAGTTAGATAGTTAGATAGTTAGATAGTTAGATAGATAGATAGATAAATAGATAGATAGATACATAGATAGACAAACAAATAGATAGAATCGATAGGTAGGTAGATAGATAGATAGATAGATAGAATGTTAGAATAGATAGGTAGATAGAATAGATAGGTAGATAGGAAAACAAATACTTATAGTTAGTCCATATTAGATAATGTTAGACAATGTTATATAATTAATGTTAGATAATATTAGATAATGTTAGATAGCCAGATACTCAAATACTTAGTTAGATATTTAGATAGATAGAAACATAGAAACATAGAAAATAAGAAGGATAGAAAATTCATATTCGATTTGATAGAAAAAATATTTGACTAGATTCAATGAGATTCGATCTGATTGGATCATATGGGTACATATGTATGATTATGTAGGTAGGTTGGTAGATCAATTGTCATTAAGATCACTAGTGATGGCGGTTGATGAGTCCAGCACCAATCCGCCCACCGTCTCTTCGATCCAGGTGGACATCCCAGTTGGTCACCTAGCATTTAGGTGACACCTTTGCGTTTTTTGTGAGTCTAAAATGGTCCATTTTATGGTCATTCAATTGGTGATACCATCTGGTTATGACTAACCTGACCTAGCCATGGAAAATGAATGGCCCTAATCGAAATAGATGGTTTACCTATTAAACATGGTGATTTTCCATGGCAAACTGTTAGTCATAACCAGAGGGTAATTTTTTCCAGATTCACCCTGGACTCAGCATGGACTCAGCAGCCGCGTGCTCGCACCTTGTAGGTGACAGGGATGTTTGAGAGGTGTTGCCTGGAGTAGTAAATTGGCCTCACTTCCAAGGACAGGCTGACATCTTCGGAAAATATATGGAAGAATTGGCTCCAAATAAATCCAATTCTGAAAAGCTTGGAGTGTTTTTCGACATTGCTTGAAGATGTAAAGTTGTTGGTAGCCGCTGAAACCATTCCATGGTTTGAATTTGGCTGCCTCACCGTGATAACTGAATTGGATGGCTTGACAATAGCAGCAGCTTCCACAGACATTGGTTGGTGTACTCCAAAATGGGTAAGCCCCTGATCCTTTGGTTATATAATCGCCATATTCAATTGAAATTGAACTTGTTGGGTTAACATGGGTTAACACCCTTTTCGAAAAAAACAAAAACATGTATACATAGTGTTATCCCCCTTTGCCACTCTTCCCCTGCACAGGCAGTAAGGGTTTCCTAAACTGGGCGGACCCCCAAATCATCCATATTGGCTTGTGTTTTTAAGATTTTTTAAGCATAAGCCATCCAAATCCATCCAATATCCCCATGGAAACCCCGAAACCCCATGAAACCCCCGCATGATCGACTCCGCTTTGGGGTTCCGGCACATCCAATTCGTCAAAGAGTGCTTCGAAATCAATACCAGGCAAGTAACGGGCCTCAGCGCTGGTCAGTGGACCGCTTGTTAACACAGATCAACGTTGCTGTGGATATCAACTACCCAAAATTAGAATGGGTAAATATGTTGGCAAATGTTGCCAACATCTCAAACTAGAAACATATACACTATCAATTTTGACACTACTTGAAACATGTTGAAACACGTTGAATCATGGAGCGGACAGAATCTTTGGACAAGTTTGGCTGAGTTTACAACTGCCGAAGCTTGCACCCAAGGACTCAAAGAATTGGACACCTTGGTACTCACCGAGTTGCTTCCCAATTGTCTGAAAAACTCGCCAAGCAAAAACATATACCACCAAAAAAATTGAAACACTGTTCAGTATATTCAACATACACATTGACATCTTATTATATAATATTATATAATATATGCAAGCGGTAGAAGTGCTCAAGTAGGATATGAAGAGTCACTGGAATCGATTGGACAAGGAGGGGTGTTCAACGCCTCATGAATCTCGCTCCGCGGCTCTTTTCAGCCAATACTTCACGGAATAGGCATGTCAACGCCTATGAGTGCTGTGGTAAAAACAGCATGCCCCCCGCATCTTCTTTCTCCTTGTGAGATAGTGATGCTACCCCTTGAACTTTTTCTCCAAAACCAAAACCAAGACAAAGAAAAACCAAACAAGACGAAAATCATTCCGTGGGTTTCCATGGTGTCTCCGGCTCGGTTTCTGGCCCTTGACTCTTTCTGTTTTCAAGAGGCTCCAGGCCGAGCAGCTTCCTTTTCCGAGCTGACGCTCTTTCTTCATCTTCGACTATGCGCCACTTGTGGCCCATGCGGTAGAACAGGTGCAGTTGCTTGTGCTCGTTGCTCTTGGTCAGCCCGTTTGATAGCTGAGCTTCACTATGAACCCATCTAATCTCCACAGCATTGCGAATCTGGGCAGATTTCAAGGAGAGTAACTCCAGGTCTGTTCTCTTCTCAGCGCCCTTCACGGACAAGACCTCGGTCTCTAACTTGTCGTACACATTCCTGGAGTCAGTAACCAGGCATCCACTGATCTGGTTGACGACACTGTTGATGTCTCTCACATTGACTTGAGCTCCCATCATTTCTGCCAGTTGGAATCTCGCAAAAAAGAGGAGATCTTCTCCGTTGTTTGCTGCTGCTGCTTCTGCTGCTCCGGGGCTGCGGCAGATCCTGCCAATCTTCTGCGAATGCCAGGCGACAAAGGTGACTGGCTCACAGCTGCCATGACGTAACCGGTGAGATGAAATTCCAACTATAATGCCTTGTGTGCTTGAGCCATCTACGCGGTTCTGAGAGGCGGCATCTACCCATGCAAACAGTGACAACATGTGTGGTTCTATGGCATGTACCTTCATGCAGTGTTCTTTCATATCTTTGACTTTGTCAAGTAACCTGTTAGCCTTGTAAATGGTCTCTATAGTACTCTTGTTCACCTCTGACAACAGCAAGCCGACTTCAGCACTGAAGTGGGGCGCAACTTGTTGTGCGTGCCATGAGACCCCTCCCAGCAAGGCCCGAAGCTGTGTTTTCTCAGACTCCTCAGTGGGTGCATTTCGGTCTTTCTTCCTGAAGGCTCTCAGGTTAATATATTTCAAGTCTTCAACATACTTCGGTTGCGACAACGAAAAGGAAAAATCTTCATGTTGTTCCACTTGAACTCCGCATTGGGTAAACCTTTTTTCTTCCCAATCTCCCCATTTATATTCCGTTTGGATACTCTTGAGAACAGTACACCAACCCTCATGCGTTTCATCCCCACTAAAAAGGAAATCATCAACATGACCAGAAATAATCCCTTTGGTAACCCCATCAACCACATAAACCCAGCAGCATGCGTCACTCCAGCATTTTTGCAATCCGAGTTTTGCAAAGAAATCGGAAATGGAACGATACCATTCCAGGGGCGCATCAACTAAGCCATAGCAGGCTTTCTTCACTTTGGTGATTGACTCTGCTGGGAGTCCCATCCTTTCACAGATCTCTGGGCATGGTATACAAAAAAGGTCATCAGGGTATGGCCTGCTTTGCAGGAAAGCACCTGTCACATCACCTTTTCGCATCTTGTGGCGATATGAAGCGGCTAATTGCATCTGCAGTTGCCTGGTCTGGCGAGTCGTGGTTGGAGAAGTCGTTGCTCTCTGTTCATAGCATGGATCTTGGTATCCTAAGAGGACGGCTCTGGCTTTCGCCTTTCGGCTGCCATCCTCCTTCTGCTTCCATGTCAGTATCCAGCGCATCTTCACTGCTTGTTCGCGTGCTGGGCGAAGTTTCTCTGGAAGGGCTTCAAAAGCCTTGGCAGCTATGAAGTTACTCACTTCAACGGCCTTTGCAGATCGGAACTGTTGTCGCTCTTCCTCAGATAGGTGACGCTCACAGACTTCAACTGCTGACCGTTTCTTCAAGCTACTGGCAAAGTAAGAAGGGAGATCTCGAAGAGCTCGTTCAGATCCAGCACGTGTGTCTGGCATGGGAACCTCCACGGCCACGGCCGCGGTCTCATCCATCCAGAAGGTGCTCTCGGTGACTGCAAACACTTCCTGGATACTTGACTGGTTCCACCATGGTGGGGCAGCAGCCATGCCTTGTTGGGCACACATTCGAGGCCTCTGTGACACGGGTGCTCCTGAGGATGTAGAAGGCGTAGGCCTGGAAGTTGGACTCCTGGATCGCTCTGTTGGCCTGGATGTTGGAGGAGCCGGTCCCATGCCACTCATCTCATCTACCATGGGGCCTCGTTTTCTTGCACATCTTCTCATTGGTTGCCATTCTTGGACTGGATCTTGAGCTCGTAGCCATTCTGCATAAGAGGGTACCTCGGTGGACACATCCAGAAACTCGTTCCCTCCAAGTTGTTGAGCTACTCTATCAAAGTCCCAGTCATCGTACTGTTTGGCATGTAGTTCTTCTAAGAGGACCTCCCGCTCGGAGGCTCGACGTAGTTGCTCTGGGGAGCACTTGAGAAGTCTTCTCCCTCTGACGCACCAAATTGAGCTGCCCTGCTTGTGGGTCCCGTCGGGAGAGCGATGTTGCTCCACCGCCAGGATGCGGGCTGGCCCCACAAACGAGCCACCCTTAATGGCTGCTTGGCCGCTCACTTGCTTTCTCCACACATACACTAGGTCTCCTGGCTCATAGTTGGTGACATCTCTGGGTTTTGAGTTCTTGGCTTTTTGGAGTCTCTGGCTTGCCGTCCATTCAAGGAAGGCCTTTTCCGCACTTTGTATTCGCTGGAGCTGGCGATCCATCTCACCAGAGGCGTTCTCTACCAGCAGCTCTGGACATTCACTTGGGCCGCAAGGGAAAAGTCGCCCGGTGGCATCAGGCGCGCGGCCAAGGGCATGTTGGATGGGCGAATAGCCTCGGATCAGTTCTCGGCTATTAAAGGTCCTAGTGGCTTCAGCCAGAGCTTCTGCTGCGGTGACTTCTGGGTCATCTTCAGCTATTTTGTTCATGAGAGTCTTGGTACCCTGAATAGCCTGTTCACAAATGCCCACCTTCCAGTGAGCTTCACCCGGAATAATGTCCAACATTATTTGGTGCCTATCACAGTATTCTTGAACCACATGACTCCTGAAGCTACCATCCGGATCAACCCTGAGTTGATTAGGAAAACCAAAATACTGAACCCAGTGTTCCCCAAACGTTTCAACAAACTGATTGGCAGTAAGGTGACTTCTTTTCCCCGTAAGAACAATTTTTCCAACACGAAAACGGCATCCCTCATCAACGAACATCAAAAATTGATAGGACTCCTTAGTTTGTGGGTGTTCCCAGTGCCCAATATCCCCTGACACAGACGCCCATTTTGGGGGGTGAGGCTCCAAGGTGGCTAAAGGTCGTGGCTTCGGTCTACCCCGTTCCTTACAAACTGAACACTCAAAACGTTCGGCTTCCCTGAGCACATCCTCTGACACTCCCCTGCGTCGCAGGGCTTGCACCAGGTGTCTGGTTGGCCCGTGGCCAGTGGCAGCATGTAAGAGGTACAGTCGTTTTCTTATTTCTTCAATAGTCAGACCCTGACCCCTTTGTTGGTTATCTTCCCCAACCAGAACTTCGTGGTTCCCCTTACTGTCACACTTCCCATGATTGGTTCCCTTGATTCTTTCATGCTCATCATGAACACATGAACCGCAAACAAAACCATGTTGAGAATCATGAATGTGGTGACAACTGCAACTGATCCCATTACCAAAAGTTTCCCCAATTTGGTGGTCTCCCACAAACTCCCTTTTTAGGTCTTCATCTTCCGCTCCATGAATCAACGCATCACAGACCCTTCGGGCAAATTCGGGGGTGTAATAAGCAGTTTTGTTGGTAAGGGAACCCTCGCACTTCACATGTTTCTGGTGAGGCCCACAGCTACATGGCATGTTCATCCTTTTTGCCAACAAAGCATGAGTGGTCATGAGTTTCCAGCCTTTCGAAATTGGGTTTTTCTCATCATCAACAAGACCAACACGACAACCCCGTACCACAGCAAACCATGGATTATGTTTCTTCACCAGTTCCTGCATCATTGGAAGCCTCCATGCCTGACATGATTGTGACCATTCCCAAGTGACATGTATACCATGCTGAATACAGTACGTATATATGACACTGCAACCGACATACTGTTTCATGGCAGCTTTGCGCTTCTCAGAAAGGGCCTCCTTCTGAGCTTCACTTCTCTGGTTGATGTTTTGCATCACTGAAAAAGGTCCACAAACCGGAGAAAGCCAAACATGTTTTGGTTTATAATGGTCAATATCTTGAATGACTTTGTGAATCCCCTGGTTGGTTCCTAAATCATACTCATTGAAAAGTGAGCAGCGTCGGGCCGCACCCTCGTCACCTTTCTTTTGTTGCATGGTGCGAGACAGCACGCTGTCGGCCGAACATGCCACTTCCAGCAGCTCTATGCGCTGGTGTGATAGCAGGGCCTCAAAGGCATTCGAAATCAATCTGTCACTGCAATGGGACAAGTGTCTTACTTTTTGCTCAGGTAAGGCTTCCCATGAGCCCCTCCAGAGCTCACTGTCGACCTGCATTCCCGCCTGTGACAAATTAAAGTTTTCTACACTCCCAGCTGAAGCTACTGTGGGATCGGCACAAAAGAGCCTGTGGATGACTCTGTCATCTCGGAGACACTGGATGCTTCGACCTTCTTGTGAGGCCTCTCGGCTTTCAGATTGTCCACGTCCTCCTTGAGGGCGTGCATCATCTGCATCATCTGCATCATCATGTTCTCGGTCTTGCCATTCGAGCCGCTGGCCGGCGTCGATGTGTTCTTGTAGCCGCTGGAGGTCTGCTTGTAGGTCGGCATCGGATGCTGTGCCTCTGGGCTCTGGAGCCAATTGGCCAGACGGGCCAGGCGGTAGTCGCATTCCCCCTCGGTGGCGGTCTTCACGACCCAACTGGCATACTGTGGGTGTTGGGCTAGAAGCTCGTGGTACTGCAGACTGCAGTGTTCCCCGAACCCCACAGGATCCTCCGGAGAGGCGGCTGTGGTCTGGTAGATCTTCTTGGTGCCCAAGCGCTGCAGCTCCTGAATGGTCTCGGTGCCGCGGGTCTTCACCATGAGCTTGTTGTTCACGTAGTCCACAAGGTCGGACTTCTTCTTGCTGGCCTTGTTCAGCTCGATCATGGCATGGCGCATCGGTGGCCGTACCTTCCCTTTTTGAGTGATCATCCCGTTGGCTTCCTTGAGTTCCAAAAGGCGGCTCTCGATCTCCATGATGCTCCACTGTTTTGGAGCTGTTTCGCCAAAGGTCATCAGGAGCTCTTCCACCAGTTCCTTTCTGGTGGCACGAGGCATGTCTCTTGTTCACTGACTCGTTGGGGATCTCGTCTAGCTTGTGCTGGAGAGCTGCAGGATGAGGTTGTTCTGGCTCTGTACACTGACTGCTGTCTGAGATTTTTCCAACATGTCCATGGAAACCCTGGGAAAGTTTTTCATCATCAACAACCACATGGTCATGAACAACACACCCAACACCATCATGAATGCTCGGATCACCAACCATGTTCAAGGGGTTGTGAAAAGTGCCTGAAACATCGCTACTGACCTTCCTTTCCATCTCAGGCGCACGGAAAGAAAGGAGTTGTCCCTACAGGAAAGCATTCAGGCTCGGCACTGGCTGTGCAGTGCTCTGAGCATCACTGTACCAATCCTGAGTCATGGGCAGCAGCTGATGGCCAGTGGCCGAACGTTCCATCTTGATGATCTTGGACGGGTTGATCTTGCGGAAGACGACCATGTCCTCGGAGAAGTCGATGATTGCTCCCAAGGCCCGTAAGGACTCAATGGAGAACAGCACAGGTCCTGCTCCCGCATCCAACGCATGTACTTGTACTTGTCCAGGTTTGCCATCGGCTTGAACCTCGAGTGAGGCTGTGGACACGCACTGGTTCTTTGATGAATTTCCAAAACCAAACGTAGGCTTGTTCTCCAAGTCAAGGTCGGCCAGGCGAGAAGTCCCATGCTTGTACTTGTTGAGGGCAATGATCTTCTCGAGGGCCACCACGCTGCCAAGGGTCTTTGTAGCCCCTCCATCAACGACAGCCTTGCCTTGCTCGACGGCCATCTGAGTGGAGATAGGCCCTATGCTGCTGGTGTCGGCAACATCAAAAAAGGCCTCTGGGCAAGCATCGGAGAACCCAGCATCCAGGTAGTTCACCTCGTGGTCGTCCGGGACATAGGGCTCCACAATCTCATGGTCCTTGGTGATCTGGTCTTGTGCAAAACAGATGAAAGGTGCAGCCTGCTCTTCGGCTGAAGAGGCTGTCGTTGTTGCCATTGCCTTTGGACATGATGAAGTCTTGTGAGGACCACCACATCGGAAGCACTTTTGATCTGTGCCAGAAGCTACAGCCGAAGTGCTTCCAGAGGGCTTGAAGTTGGTGCGGTAGTACTTCCGGGACATCCTCACCTGATGTTGTTTCTGTCTGGCCTCTTTCAAGGTGCGACGCCCGCGCTCCATCATGGCTAGGGCTTCTTGAGCCACATCTTCAGCTTCACCCAGGAGTGCGAGGCCCTCGTCATTGAAGTTGCGGTGAGCCTGGGCAACCCAGGCAGTGTCATAGTCCTCAGACTCGGCCTCTTCATTCTCATCCACCCACCAGCTGGAGTGACGATTGGCTGCATCTCGACGACGCAAGTCCTCATCAGTCCACTGGCTGCGTAGCTCCTGTGCCACTCGGGTCATAGTGAAGTCGCCCTTCAGGGCTGCCACGACCATGTTGCGCTCGTTGGTGTCCAGGCCAGAATCAAACAAGAGGTACCAGCCCTGGACATACTCTGGTAGTAGTTCAGGGGCTTCCACATTCCAGTCGGCATTCTCGGAAGGTGTCCAAGAGGTACTCCACCAGTCATTTGACCACCAGTCCGGATAACTCCAGGAGTCTCCTGAAGGACCTGGACCAGTGGAGCTTCGCTCCTCAGTTGCATCCTCGGTGGCCTCAGCTTGATCATCAGGTCGAGCAAGCGCTTCCCGATCATCCTGAATCTCCTCAGCACTCAGGTTCTGACTGCCAGCCAGGGAGGGTGTCCTCCTGTAGTTGGCCCAAGGGTCGGTGGACCCCGGACGGCTATAGCCGCCGTAGCTCTTCTCCCACGCTGGCTTCTTTTTCTCATAGTGAGACATCACCCTGTGAAGTCCTTGCCTAGCTCTTGCATACAGTTCTGACTTCCTAGTGACGTACTCATTCATGGTCTCCCCCTTCTTGCGCCTGGACTGCCGGAAGTAACGGCTCAAATGATCCGTCAGTTCAGGCATCTGTGGAAGGCCCAAGTTTGACCTCAGGTACGTCAGAAGCCGCTGCACGCCTCCATTGAAGGAGAGCCATTCGGGATGCTTGCCCACAGTGAACCTGCGAGCAGTGCCCGTCAGCTCTGTGAGAAGCCTCGGGCCGCACAAGTAGCGCTTGTGCATCGCTATGGATTGCTCCCACAGCAAAGCGCTCTCTTCATACTCCTGATATGTTCCGGCATCTCCATCCCAAATGGGAACTCCTTCTCGCGTCTTCTCTATCCTTTTCTGCTTCTCCGCCATGTTGTTCCTCCTATGGCTCTGGCAATAGGAGGCTGTAGGTCCCTGGTCTCACGCCCGCCCGTAGGCAGGCTCCGCTACCGTGCAAGCGGTAGAAGTGCTCAAGTAGGATATGAAGAGTCACTGGAATCGATTGGACAAGGAGGGGTGTTCAACGCCTCATGAATCTCGCTCCGCGGCTCTTTTCAGCCAATACTTCACGGAATAGGCATGTCAACGCCTATGAGTGCTGTGGTAAAAACAGCAATATATATATATATATATCCATGCAAATCCAAGATAATCCAACAACATGTTCCAAAAACAGGCGTTGAACGGACACGTTTGGACAATCGTCCGGGAACTCGTCCGGGTCCCCGGCAATTGCGACCCTTGCGACCCGACGTGCGGTGCGTAGCAAGAACTGCACCAAATGTGCGTGGGCAGCGAGCTGCTCCTCGCTGAACCCTCTGGTGAACTGTTACATAACTATGGAAACCACCATGAAACCATTACATAACTATGGAATACTATGGAAACCACCATTTTTAATGGGTAAATCATGGTAAATCAACTACTGTATTTCTATGGCCATTTTCCATAGCTATGTTAAATTACCAGAGGGATCCAGAGGGTACATACCATGCATATCCATGCATCCAGTTTACGACGCTGTCCTGGTATTCCGAATCCTCCGGCAAAACACCAGCTTTGTCTTCTTCAGGCAAGCTTGGAATCACCGTCCCCAAAATGTACCTTGAAAAGATCTGTCAGGTAACTTTCTGCTTGCAAATTCAAAGGAAAAAGATTCCGCCAAGACAAACTGGAACAACTCAGTCAGCCATTTTTGTTCAGCGTAGCAAATCTCATTTCTGGCACAGAAACCAATCAGATGTGAGGGCACGTGGTTGGCAAAAGTGTGTCGTCCCAATCGAAAATGATAACTGCGTTTGCAGGATCTTGAAATCCAGGATCTTCAATGCCTCCAACTCCAACGTGCCGTGCTTATCAAGGCTGGGAAACTATGGGAAACTCCTACCTTTGGGAGAGGGGGATGGAGGGGGCCTATCATGGCCTATCGGATCAATTGATTGGTCATCTCTCACACGGGTTCTTACATCAGTAATTTAAGGTCGCCCATTCCGTAGTGGGATGTAGTGGGTGTCTCTCATGTCTATTGCTCCTGATATGTGCACCATCATTCTGTATCTATCTTGGCATTGAATGTGCAGTGAACTGTGAAACAGGATGAAACAGGCATGTTTCTGTTCTTGCTTGTGTTCCCTACAGTGCAATATGCTCACATTTTTTCGAGAAAGCGGGCCAGCATCACACATGTCTATTGCTTAAGCAAGCAGCCAGCCTAGATCGCCGTGTCCAATAGCTGTTCGAAAGGACGATACCTGAGCCATGAAAAATAGAACTATCCCATCCTGTTGTACGGTTGGTTAGGAAATATCCCTATAATGGGCTACAATGGGTTGCAAAAATCTCCAGTAATAGAAGCCAGGCATATCCAGGCATTATAACCGCCATATCAATCTACAGTATCTACAGATATCTACAGTATATCAACCATTCAACAAAGATAATTTTGAATGGTTCACCTTCATGAGACTAATTATCTGACCAGCTGTCCAGGCAGCTTACTGAGGCTCCAGCAAGCTTGCTGACGACCAACTTTGCATCGCAACATGCCTTGGTATCCACAGCAGTGACGAAAAGGAAGAACATGGAATTACATTGACAAAGGTCCCGAAGAAAAACGCACACTTACGAATTCATACCGTTGAGGCTCCCGTTGAGGTGATTGAGCAGACCTTTCTACAGTAGCACTACTGGCATCCTCTCAGCACATCAACTTGCGAAAAATATCGAAAAATAATGCGGACACATCGTGGACAGCACCGCAACACTAAACCATGCTGGAGAGAACTTCCTGCATTGAAGGTTGAACTGGCAGAACTGGCAGAACTGTCGCTTTCTAATCTTTCTAAGGAAATACTATGTGAGAATCTGAGGAGAAAATGCTACTGTGGAAACAACTCTTCTCCCCTTTCCCGCTGCTCCTACTACTTGCAACCACCTCTGCTATTGCTACTAGGACGTCTACAAGTAGGAGGAAGAAAAGAAAGAACATGAAAGAACAACAAACAAATCGTCGGCGAAACGACAAACAGAAGCACGTTAAAAAAAACCACAAACAGGCAAATGTAGACCAGCAAGAAACATTAGAACAAGGCCCCCAAAGCCTGCAAGAAAAGAACATGATTATCAATTATTGCAAAACAATGCAAAACATATTATGTAAACATGCAAACACACGATGGAAAATAGTTATGAACAAATCCGAAACAAAAACAGCTTTCTCCGCGACCAAAGTTGTGAGACAATGTGAGACATCTGAGACCCCGAGCCAAGCATGTTGTTGGTGGATTGGACGGCTTGGACGGTTTCGACGGCGAGGCTTCGTGGCCAGCGTGATCCTGCTCAGCTGCTCGACATTGCTGGACCATGACAAAACAGAATTTCCTTCCATTTCCATCCATTTCCGGTTTCTTCCAAGTTTATTGCCTTCATTCGGCCCTTGTTCATCCTTTTTCATGCTGCTTGCATTCTTGTCCTTGTTCATCTCGTTATATCTCGTTCTTCCTTGTTCTTCTATTGTTTTTCTATGTTTTTCTGATGAGAACGCATGGTGCCTATGGCCTTTGACACTTCCATAGTGGAAGAGTACATTCAAAAATTCAAATGGTGGACAATCTTGGCCACATGCCTTGTATATGTATAGAAATTCAGCCTCGACCAAATGGCTATGTCATGGCTTACAAACCAGCAATCATTCCCTGTCACTTACAGGTCCCGCCCGACCTCTGTATGCCATAGAATGCCGCAGTTGTCCTTGTGAAAGCCAGCCTTTGTCGTCCAAAATCACAGCGACAGATTCGGGTGCAGTTCTACTGAGCACACTTAGCTTTGCACGCTTTCGGGCTGTGGTACAGCCGCAGCCACCCCTCTGTCCACAGCCATTGCCAAATTGGGAGATGACCTTGTTTGAGTTCACCAATTCATATACGTATATTATCGTATATTAAAGAGTCAAGAGCGAACAAGGTCTAAGAAAACAATTCTCACATTCCGACGGACTGATCTATACTTTCTCCAACAAACAACGTGCAAATACGTGCAGTGCAGCGTGTTTCCGAGCGTGTAACCTGCTCGAAAACAGGATGTTATTGTCCACTTCCTTGCACCGAGAGGCCTCAGCTTTGGACATCTGGTCAGGGATCAGCACAAATCATCCACGTCTAAACATCTCACTGGTGGATTCTGGTAACAACATGTCGTTTTAAGTCGCTTTATATTGTTTTATGATGCCGGTAATGGCATGTAATGGCCACATGATTAGCTCTGCTCCATGGCAATCGGGGCCGGAACAAAGCGATGGACCTCAAGGAAGCAATGCCATGCAATATGCAATGCCATGCGAGGTTTCAAGGGAAACAAACCTGTCTCATGGCCTGACTCCACTCAGCCATACTCAGCCAACTACTTGCTCCAAAGCGATTTGACGTCGGCAGCTTGCTTCTTGGGATTGTTGAGATTCACTCCTTGAACTGGGCAACTGCTGCTGAACGACTTGAACTAGGCAGTCTTCAAAAAAAGAACTGTCCAGCAAACTTTTGAAAACTGATGTTTATGTAATTTGTGAAAGTTCCGTTCCGGTCTATCTCGGCTATAAACATGATTAGAGTCATACAGTATTCTGAGAATTCTAGCAGCACACTGACGCTACTGGTAGAGGTCGTTGATCAAAACAATTTCTGGTGTTTGGATCAAACCAACGCAGCCCTCAGGACCTTCTTGCGGGGGGGCGTGGAGCGCCAATCTCAGGACTGTTCGACACATGCTCTGCAAACCAACCTGCATCAAAGCTCTGGATCAATGGAATTTTCCAATATTATCAGATATTATCAGTATTTTCAGTGACGTACACACCCTCTCCGAATGACTTCTTAGTTTCGAATGCCAAGAATGGATAAGAATGGCAGGATCAGAATCATGAAATAGCCACATCATAAGTGCAAGTAGCAAATATGCGTTTGTCCGAACACATGCTACACAAAAATCCACAGGTTCAGAATAATTGTATAATTGTCCCAGCAAAATCATGCAAAATCGCCATTTTGGGGCATTCCCCATTTTTGAACAAACCCCATATTCTGCTTCAAATAAACTTGAGAAGTGGAAAAGTTGACATCTGAGGCGTTGGCTCTTCAGTCCCACCGACTCTGTTCTGTTCAATTTCTCGACTTCATCACCTGAAGTCACTTTGTGGCAGGGCTAATTGCCTAGCCATAACTGGCTCAGCTTCATGGTATAAGTTCCCAGGGGTGTACGGCGTACTGGGCCCATGACAATCCTGGTTAGCCGCAACCAGCTCTCCAAACCTCAGTGCTGACATGTGCCTGTGCTGACTGCCGAGCATGACGACAGTCCAACTTCGATATCAGCGGCTGTCGCAAACAAAGCATGTGGTCCACTCTCAAAAAACATAACTCAGGACAAGGTGCGCAGGGCATGATTGCTGGTACCCACGGGTGGATGTTTTGAACCTCGTCACATTTCTGATCCATTGGGCAAAACATGGCAAAACCATGTCTTGCTTGTGCAGGGGTGATCCGCTTCAAAACCACCTTGCACTTCGCAAGCAGGAACAGCCTGCAGTGATTCCTGCCACTGTTTCAACTGTTACCGATGAAATGTCCAAGTTCATGACAAGTCGGACGCCATGTTCAGGCCAGGGGATGGAAGGGGCAAAGCATTCTGCAGTTTTTCAACTTCCAGGGTCGCCCTTCTTGCGCCCTTCTTGGGTGCCGCTTCCAAGCCGGATAGATCCTGATATTCTGAGGACTGACTATGAATCTTGCAACATCAAATCAGAGCCAAGAACGGGAAAACCTGGTACACTGATCTACATATCTTTGTAAGCCGTGAAGTTCTTTGAGGCTGTGAGGCTCCACTTTATGCGTTTTGTATTTTTTTGTAGGATACCTGAGATGTTGCCACGCTTTGGCCAAAGCTTCAGCAATGAACAGCTAAGCGACTCCAAGAGCAATGGGTTTCACACACTTCCGATCATGAAACGAGTTTGCCCAAAACTAAGGTACTGCAAAATCCAAGATAATCCAAGTTACCCCCATTACAATAGCAATTTTGGGGTATACCGGTATATCACATTTCTGGCAAATCAAAAGGTCTGAAAACCCTGCCACGTTCCCTGCACTTTTGGAAACCAAGGCTTGGCTACCTACTTCAGCAGCATCCGTCAATCAGACGTGCCTTAATTCAATGCTGAGGCCTTGTGTTCGTGGCTCCTTTTGCTACTCCTTTTGTTGCCGTTATGCAGCAAAAGGGATGCAAGGGGCAGAAAAGTCTGCCAAGGCAAAGTTTGGCAGCGGGTCTGAGACTGAACCATATCGCTTTTCAGGTTTTTGTGCCAAACATGTAGTATGCATATAAGTTTATCTGATTTTCAGGTTTTTGTGGTTGCAAATGCCGATTGACAACCTTGACATCGGCTTTTTGCATTGGAGCTGTATCTCAGACCCCTGCCTCAGTAGCCATGCCAAAGGTGCGCGTCTTGCGCACGTCTCAAAGGGGCACAGCCTGGGATGGCCTGGGTCCTGGGCCTGAGCTTTTGACACCGCACAGGTGTAAAAGCCAGGTTCACATATGTCATGTCTTTCACTTTCGTACATATGTTATATCATATTATTATTACAGGCATATGGTTCATATATAATTATTTATAATGTATATTAATATTTTTCAGGGTTAGAAATGTAAAGAAACATATTTGTTTGATTAACAAAAAACAATTTAGTTTTCTTGTTGAACAACACATGTGTTTTTTTTCCAAACACCAACTTTTCAGATTTTATATAAGCTGAAGCAGGAAATGGTTCAGTAGGTATCCATGTATGGGTTGGTCACCTTGGATGGGAATAAAAATCCCAATGAAACACCCAAAAGATGGTATCAAACCAACCATACCGGCTGATAAAGGGTGCAACAACCACATGATTACGTTGTTGTTCTGACCCCAAGGTGAACACATCTTGTAGAGTCTAAGGTTTGGGAATTTAGCTTCATAGACCATTTAAACATGTTCTACCTATAATTGCCCAGAAATCCGTAACCACACGTATCACCCGTAATCTATGGAGAAAAACCATAACCAAAATGAAGAATACCCATAATCACAAGGGAAAACCCTCTATTTCTTGGTGCGTAACCCATATTCAGCAGTAATGCAGCGTAACTGACCCGTAACCAACATGAAAAATAGTCATTATTTGGACCTGCCCATAATTTCCCGTAACATACCCATAATTAATTATGGGTATTTGTATGAAAAACCTAAGTTTTTGTTTCATTCACTTTGATATTGTGATTTGTTGATGTTTTGTTGATGTTTTGCTGGCACTGATATGGATTTATATAGTCACGTCCGTATGATCACCCATAAGGACCGAACTTTTTAAAATAACATACTTTTTGTATCTTTTAGTTGGTGCTGGTATGCGCTGCTGCAAATTCAAAACAACTTGAATCTCTTCGCACAGGGCCCCGGGACCTTTTGGGGGTCTGACAAAAGCTAATCTTGGATCCTTACTTTGTATCCGCTTACATGGTTTTCCTCAAGAGGGGTTTGTTAACCTAGAAGGTTGTGAAGAGAGTGCAAATTTGTGCCACCTTGTGCTGCAACATGGTGGAGCAGAGATCCCGTGACGTGTTTGTCGAGTCTATGTGTATTTGTGTGTGTGAACCATTTGTCATGCATGAGTCAGGTGACAACGCATGAGATTATGCTACATCATGACATCCAATGACCTTTTTGTTTTGGGTACGGCCCCAGGACGTATTTTTAGCAAAAAGCAGAAACCTATCAAGCCTAGTTTTTTTCCTTACACCCCACAACAAAAAGTAATGGAGGCACTAGGTATACATATAGACTAGATTGATCTAGATTGTCAAATTATGATCAACAGGCAAAATCAAATGCAAATATATCACTTGCATATATTGCAGTTTTTTCAATTCAAGGTCTACAGTATATTCGACTGCCTATGACATTCTTATCTATGGACCTTTTTGGACTTGCTAAATTTAAGCATCTTGTGGCAGATTGCTATTTGGATTCCCCAGGGATTCCCCAAAGGTCACCTGTGGTCACCCCAGCGCCGCTGGCGCGCTTCGTTCGCAACGGTTCAATCTACATCTGAATCAGCCGCTGGTCCTGCAAGTGCATCAAATACCTGGGTCTTCAGCAGCAATGCGACATGGCATTCATATGGCCACATGGCAGGAAGAAACACAACTCAGGCGATTTTCAGGATGGAACGTTTGGCAGTTTTATAAGCTGATGAAATTTCTAAGCTCAAGAACAGAGCCCGATGATGAAGAAAGGGTTGACCTCAGTGTGGGTGCTCAGTTTTTTACAATATGCCGATCTGCTTAAACAAACTGATCATGTGATACAATAGATGCTTCTGGCTTGAACAGGAGCACTTGAAACACACACACACACACTTTTTTACCTACCTTTTTTTGTTGTTTGTTGTTTTGGGTTCAACATCAGAACGCAAAGATAGACCCCTTCATCTCGTGATTTCCCGAGTGATGTCTGATGTCTGAGCGGAGAACAGCCTTCCAAGAAGGCTTTCAGCTTCACTCCTTGCATTGGGAAATGGATCGCCAACGCACACATTCAAGAAATGTCGATTAAATTCCATGAAGCCACTACAAACTTCCAGCAAGCAAACATACAGTTGGAAGACAAGCAAAATTATCAATATTACAGAAATATTAATTACGTAATAATCTTAATCAGACTGGTGAGATTGGATGAGATTGGAATCTCATGGAACCTCGATTTAAAATGCATACTCATACTCTTCAAGCCTACAAAGAGGGAGCAAATAAGGCCAGCACTGTTTCTGCCTGACTTTTTCCTTTTCTTTTGCACGCTCCAAGTCAGCCGCCTGCAGGATGTCCAGTGTTGGTCAGGTTTGGAGTTGAGGACAGCTCTCTTCATGACACAATGTTGACACTAAGCTTGGAACGATTTGAGAACTCTTTGCCTTGATTCCGCAAAAATCGACGTCCAACCTCACGGCAAATTGTTCAAATCTGTTCAAAGATACATTTGAGCCGGGGTGCAACAAAGAATGCAACTGAATCCAAACACCCTAATCCATGTTCGCAGCAAATTGCAGGGCCTGGAAATCATTCATATTGCATCATCTTGCACATATATGACATATATGTGCATGGTAAGTTTTCGTTGCTATTGTTGCTATGTTTGAGGAACAAAGAACTTCCTCCTCGGTCAATGGCACAGCGTTCATCAGCTTGAGAAAGTCTGGAAAGTCCATCGTCCACTCCTGCGGCAACATCTTTTCATCAGGAAATCGTTTTCAACACGAGCCAAAGCCAGACATGGACAGGTTCAGTAAACATCAAATACGTGTATATATATATATAAGTTTTATGAATAAAACATATGAATATCAAATTACAGCAAGTTCCAAAAAAAAACATCAAATTACAGGGGGTTCCGATATTTTAGGCCAAGCCCCAGTTCTCATTCATTATCTGTTCATGGTGACCTCCATGTCTGGAGTGCTTTGGAAGCTCTGACAATACTTCTGGAAGAGCTCAGCGAGCTGCTGCACCTGAAGCCAGTGCCAACCAAAAGCATGGCTTGTAGGAATCTATGTAGTACTGCAGATCATAATAGATCATATATTATGTTAAGTCACCTGCTTGGCTACACTTGGATCCTGATTTTTTTAATTTTGCACATTCCAAAGTGTTCCAAATTATTCTGCTGTTTTGCGCGTGGCCGTGGCCTCTTGCCTTTCAGTGCTAAGGACAAAGCTCTGCGATCGCCCAGAGGTACAAGAGTATTCAGAAGAGAGGCGACCGTCGGAAAAGTCATCGAGTCTCTTTGCTCCAAGTCCTGCCATTGCAGACTGCCCTATCACGGTCCCAGCATCATGTTGGTTAATAGTGGTTGACAGTGGTTAATAATGGCTACAGTAATAATGATTGATAGTTCAGTAAACCTGCCAGAGGCACATTCTCCACAAAGATCTCCCGAAAGCCTTTGACTTGTGCACGAGTGAACGGCAACTGATCCAGTGCTTGCTGCTCCTTGCGCATCCACCGCTCACCGCTCCCTAGTATATCCCCATTGAATTCCATGTCGAAAGTGGGGCTTCCAATCGCCACAGGATATGACTTTAGAACCCCAACAGCCATCGTTTTGCCAAGCATGTCCATCTTTGTATTTCCAAAACCTAACATCATCTTTGTATCATCTTTGTATCATCTTTGTATCATCTTTGTATCATCTTTGTATCATGCAACACTTCTCCCAGGAGCTGAATCTCCTTGCGACTCTTTTCTTTCCTGACGCCATCTTCCAAGTCACGTGCCAAGCCCAGGAACTCGGTGAAGCTCATTCGGCCTTCACCCGACGTATCCGCCTGCGACCAGCTGCGACCAGCTGCCAGCTGCTGTGTCCGAAAATGCCGGAGAAATCCATCAGTTTATCCATCCAAATCTGGTGGATACACCGGTGGTATATATTGAATATCATAGGATATCATAGAATATGACCATTTTTCCCATTCAAATGGCAATAAACTGGAACTGGGATATATATATATATATATCATGGTATATATACTATTGCAATCTACTACAGTATACATTTAAAATCATTTCAATACTCCATTTTCAACCACGCTCCTTGTTTCTTACTTTGGGTGGTCTTCTTCGGTCTGATCAAATTCCGATCGCGGCCTCTCTGAGCAGCCGGATCAGCTCTGGTCGATACTTTGGATCAGTAGCCATCTCCGGCAAGAGGTCCTTTATGGCAGTGTGTCAAAACCTTGTACCCCTGGTGAACATCAAAATAGCTGGTAAATGGATGTTCATCCCCCTAAAAATGGTATTAATAGGTATTGACCCATACCCTTATCACGGACAGCACGGCTGATATCACGGCAGCATTGGTCAACATTGATATCATTGATCACACGGAATCACGCGTGCATATTCTCGGAGCTGAAGAACGTGAAGATTCAGGGTGTGTGGCTTGCTATGTCATGGTCCCGTGTGTTGGGGAAGCGTTTCCCAATCCACAAGTGTCCCCCAACAAACAGACTTCTGTCCAGTGCACATCAGTGGACTAAACGTTAAATAGCTTCAAAGCCGTCCATTCTGATCGTTGTTCCACATGAGTTCAACAAGCTTAATTGAGCAATGTTCAAAACCTTCTCTTGTCCCTTTATACTGGTTGGTATAGTATTTCCCAGTTATGGACTGTGATAATCCCCAATTTATTGAAGTATATTATGTGTATGGTCATAACTATATTTTTATGTATACAAATACATACAATATATTATAGCTTTCATTGAGTGCACAGTTTGTCTGTAGAAATTAGAAGCCAATATCCAGAAGAATGCGGCGCATTCGTGGGAGTCTTCACGGCATAATGCTGGCATAGTGAGCACAGCATGCATGTCCTGACATGTCTGATGCATATGGTGCATTATGTGTCGAAATAATGAATACTGTAGAATACATGAAAATCATAAAGTAATCTATAGATCATTGTCCTATATACAGTAAAAGAATCTATAAGATAATTAAGATATATATATATTATATTTGAATATACGTATAATCTTGATTCATCTGGCATATGGAGGTTTCCTAAAATGGGGGTGCCTCAAAATCATCCAAGCTATTGGTTATTATCAAATTTATCAATGGGAAAACCTATACTTTTGTTTGGGGTAGCCGGGTAGCCGGTAGCCATATTTTAGATATTTTAGGCCCAAGCCACCTGACACAAGGTGCGTAACTCAGATGCTTGGACCAAACCGCTGCCATCCGAATCGTGCTCCGTGAACCTGTCCGAAGGGGGCAGCAGTCGGACTGGCTTTGCAAAAGAAAAACATTGGAGATCATGGGATATGATTGGATATTATTATAGATATTATTAGATATTATTAGATATTATTAGATATTATTAGATATTATTAGATATTATTATAGATATTATTATAGATATTATTAGATATTATTAGATATTATTAGATATTATTATAGATATTATTATAGATATTATTAGATATTATTAGATATTGTTATAGATATTATTAGATATTATTAGATATTATTAGATATTATTAGATATTATTAGATATTATTATAGATATTATTATAGATATTATTATAGATATTATTATAGATATTATTAGATATTATTAGATATTATTAGATATTATTAGATATTATTAGATATTATTAGATATTATTAGATATTATTAGATATTATTATATTATTAGATATTATTAGATATTATTAGATATTATTAGATATTATTAGATATTATTAGATATTATTAGATATTATTAGATATTATTAGATATTATTAGATATTATTAGATATTATTAGATACTATTAGATATTATTATATATTATTAGATATTATTAGATATTATTAGATATTATTAGATATTATTGGATATTGTTGGATATTGTTGGATATTATTGGATATTATTGGATATTATTGGATATTATTGGATATTATTGGATACTTGCATGATTGGTAGGTTCTCATCATCTTTCGAACAGATTTTGGAAGAATTATTTCTGATGTGGTTTTTACGCCCATTTTTGGGGCGGCCTTGATCGCAGCATCTGCACTTCAGTGGTATCAAAGCCATGGTGCTGCCGCGCCAGGACCTCAGAGCCAGCCAGGAATCATTATCATTATATCATGATTTGATATGATTTGATGCTATTTGGGGGGTATGCTATTTGGGGGATACCCTCTGGTAAACTAACATAACTATGGAAAATCACCGTTTTCAATGGGAAAATCCACTATAAATGGTAATTTTCAATAGCTATGTTAGTTTACCAGAGGGTAACTTGGCAATTTGGCGGGGGTGTTCCCAATTGTTGTCGATGTTCATTTGTTGGTGCTATTATTTGGGGGCATACGGTATACCACATTTTTAGAGGAAAAACAACAGAGGGAGCCTGATCAACCATGAGATGCTGCAGTTTGATATGATTTTGGGATGTCGTCCTTATTTGCAGCCAAACCCCTAATATCCACTAATTAATCCCTTCCCCCTATTACCCCCTCCCCCAAATAATAAAAACTAGGGTCCGTATCCAATTTTGGAAAAATTGAGTTTGGCCAATTTGATTCTTAATTGATCCCCTTTGAAAAACGATTTAAAAATAAAACTACCATTTCAGGGTTTCACCCCCCTAAAAATAAAACCTAGTCAAACGCGGGGTGTCTGATTAGGGTCCGTCTTTTAAGGTCGAAAAAATAATGTATGTTATATTGAGTTTTTTAATTTCATATTAGGGGGAAGCTTCGAAATCCAATTTTTGGCAATATGTTAATTAGATTTTAAAAGGAAATCTAATCGATTTTGAAATAGAACAAACTAGTTTGTTTGTATTAGGGTTTCAAATTTACTATTAGGGGGAAGCTTCGAAATCCAATTTTTGGCAATATTTTAATTAGATTTTAAAAGGAAATCGAATCGATTTTGAAATAGAACCAAATAGTTTTTTATATTAGGGTTTTAAATTTAACTATTAGGGGGAAGCTTCGAAATCCAATTTTTGGCAATATTTTAATTAGATTTTAAAAGGGAATCGAATCGATTTTGAAATAGAACCAAATAGTTTTTTATATTAGGGTTTCAAATTTAGTTTTGGAGAGAACATGAGAGAACCCTAATAGTAAATTAACCCCTTATAATAAAAACTAACTGGGGTGTTTATTGTGTGGGGGAGGGTTGGTATTGGGGGGAAGGGATGATGTCTAGGTCTATTCTAAGTCTCATTAATGTCGAATTATGTCGAATTATTAGTTTAACGTTGCATCTCCAAAATGTGCTGATAGTCTCATTGTCCTGGCTTTTCGTGACACAAACACGACAAACAGGCGCTGTGGCCGGCTGTGGCACTGGCCCTCAACTGATTGCGTTTCGCCACAGCTGTCTGCAATATACCGTACCTGATCGTCGCCACAGCTCTGCGTAACCACGAGGCCATGATGCTCTTAGTGTCTTGGATCCTGGCCTAGCATCTTCAGCATCCTTCATCCTTTGGGCCTGGGCTGTGACACTGTGCGCAGTCGGATTCAACATGATTCAACCAGATTCTGAACTTCATGATCTTGAAATTCCCTTCTCAATGCAAACGGGTCTTTGGATTCTTCACGGCTTCACACAAGCTCAGGTTACTAATGTTTGGAAGCTTTGGATGTTGTCAATGTTGTCTGTACAATGAAACGCACAACATTGAGCTTGGTGCAGGAGTCTTTTCGGTTCTCGATCGCGCAATTGACATTGACTCCGTTGGATCACGCATCCCGAGAAAGTTCATGCTTTGCTTCATCCTCGACATGCATAAGATCATGATCGATCAATTCCGCACGAATCATTGTGGTCTTCGTCTGTCATAACTCCCAAGCATCGTTATAGTAAAAACCCCGCCAAAAAGATAGAAGAGGAAATTGCCATTGTTTTAGTAGGAAATCGTTTTTTCTATCTTTTTGAGAGTTGCTATGTCCAGTATATCAGTATATCTGCTTTCTTGACATTGATTGCGCCAACTAAGCCCCGTACACTTGGCGACCATCAAAGCAGGAAGAAGCAGCAGCACCTCCTACAATTCCTAGCCTGCGGAACATCGGCATCTATGGAGCGATGTGTAAATGCCAGTGCCACAATTTAAGGGAACTTAGGATACACGACTGGATAATCAATCTGATAATCATAGGATACATATCTTTCACCGATTTTTTCATCTAATATCTATTGATATCGATTCATAGTACGCGGTGATTGTCTGGCTGTAGATCTTGAACATTCAGTTGCATCTCTTTTGCAGTCATCCTGCCAGGCGCACTTTAGATACGAGGCCCGGATCTGATCAAGTTCTTTTTGACGATATTTGCGAACCTTGGGTCCGTTGGTTGAAGTTTGAAAAGCGGAGGTTTCAGCAAACATGATCAAGTGTCCACATCAGGCCATGACCTGCAATATCTACAGTAGGTCTACAGTAGATCCAAACTTGTTTCAAATGGTTATATTCCCATGATATATAATTTCATCAGCTATGATATGTCCATATACTTCCATTCTAATCACATTGCATCCCTTTTCCATTATAATGTATTACAATTACGTTACATCCCCATAATATCAACTATATTCAATGTCCATCAATAGTTGGAATAATTGGTATTAACCAGCCATTAATTATATCAACTACTATATCCCATTATATCAACTATATTCAAGTTCCATCATTATTGGGATAATGATTGGCATTAATATGTCCAGTTCTAAGTCCCTTGCAAGCTTCAAGAACTCGGGAAGGCTGATATCGCCAGCTGAAGCAATGTCGACCTGCAAGGCTACGCCTATGTCCCGATTTTGGGAAATTTCAGGTGGTCTGATTTTTAAACTGATCCCCTTTCGATAACAAGTTAAAAATCAAGGTCCCCCTCGAAAGTTTTACCGCTGAACCATAATGATTTTTATTAGGGTCGGTCCCTGAGAATGACTTTAGTTTTTTAAGATTTTTTAAGATTTATTTATCAGGGGAAAGCATCGAAATCCAATTTTTGGCAATTTATTAATTAGTCAAAAAGGGGTTTTGATCGATTTGGACATGTGTTTCTTAATTAAGGTTTGAATTCGATTATTAGGGGAAGCTTCGAATCCAATTGTTGGCAATAAATACATGTTAGATCTTAAAAAGGGATTTGATCGATTTCGAAATGGAACTTTTTTTTTTACTTTAATTTGATCATTAGAAGATATTAGAAGCAAGCTTCGCAGCCTAATACTAAATACCCCCCTAATACTAACAGCTACTCCAGGTCTTTATTATTTGGGGGCTATAGCTTTGTATTGTAGGGGGATAATATGGATAGTCAACTCGTCAAGTATTCCAACCATTCCCCCGGGACCTCAGTGAAGAGCAACTCATGCTCATTGTGTGTGGATTTGTAGCCCAAACGACTCAGTATTCGACCAGCATCCAAGCAGCCTCGGATGCTGTTTGCCATACAATTCATACAATAATCTGACATCCATTTGGGGTAGGCGTAGGTCAATGTAGGTGATAATTTTGACATATTTTGACCCATATCCAGATATCCATTTTTGTGGCAGTTGCAAGGGTGCTGGATTCCAGCAAAGTGTCCAGCGCAAAGGTTTGAAATCTGTTTTTCAAAGGTAGAGGGTGAAGTAAAAATGAAGACTCTGAGTTTGTTTATCAGCCAAATTATTGCACAAAATATAGTCGCAGTCTCTCATTACGTGCTAGGGTCACCCAATTAAGTCTGCAAAGCTTTGCTAGATGGGTTGTTTTGACACATTCACTCGGTGCAATCGTTTGGGGGATTCACAGCATCGTAGTTGTGCTTGCAAATGCTGGACAAACCCTTTTTGCACTGCAACAAAAAATGAATTTCCAATCGAGCGCGTGGCGACTTGGCTATACTTGGCTGCCGGGCTGATGCGTTTCTCATGCTCAGACTCATGGGCATACTTCTCAAATAACCCCTGACACGAGAACAGGGTGAAGGGACCCTGCTTGCTAGCACCTCATATGGGTATCCAAAATTCAAACTTCTCAAGACCTCCCACACTTTGGAACAAAAAAACTATGAGAACATGTGATAACACCACTCAAAGTGTTCATTTTTGGCTACATCGGTATCTCAGAAATCAAAACATCTCATGAAGATATCAAGTTTTGGGATAAATCATGGATAAACACATGGATAAACCCATGGGGCTAACAAACTGCTACTGTACGCCAGGGCTGGCCTTCAGTTCGTTCGCCTCGGCTCTTGTGAAGCCTTCGCGTCTCCTGTAGACCT